TATACTGCTTTTTTTTAATTCACTAACGCTCTAAAAATGAATATTTCAGCAGCAGTAAAGAATCAACGTTGGCGGATTTTGGTTCTTGACATCCTTTACGATCGGTTACGATGCCTAGAGTACGGAGACCTGTACGATTTCGTCAACTTAGTGAGTTTGATAGGGGCCGTATAGTGGGACTTCGGGACGCTGGACTTTCTTTTCGGGCAATTGCAGTTAGAGTGCAAAGAAGTGTAGACACTGTGGTTAGGTGTTGTCAGGCATGGCTTCGAGAAGGCCGTACGCAAAGAGCAAAGGGGCACTGGACGCCGCCGTAGAACAACAGACCGTGAAGATCGCCGCCTAAGATTATTGGCCTTAAGGGACCGTTTCTCCACTACCAGGTCCATTGCAAATGAATGGTTTGCAGAACACGGAAGGCCTATTGACATGCGAAATGTTTACCGACGAATGAGAAGTTTTGGCTTGTTTTCATACCGGCCACACTGGGTCCTCCCTTTAACTCGAGAACACCGACGTAATCGCCTTGAGTGGTGCAGACAACGGTCAATCTGGGATCAGGAATGGAACAGTATTGTCTTTAGTGACGAGTCTCGATTTTGTTTAGGCATGCAAGATGGTCGTGCCAGGGTTAGAAGGCGACGTGGTGAAAGGAGGAATCCACAGTTTTTTGTTGAAAGACATGTTCATCACACTGTTGGAGTTATGGTTTGGGGTGCTATAGCTTACGGTTCCAGGTCACCTTTAATCTTCATCAGAGGTAACATGAACGCGCAGCGTTATATCCACGAAGTTCTAGAACCCCATCTTTTACCCTATCTTGACACCCTGGCAAATCCAACTTTCCAACAAGATAATGCCCGACCACATGTTGCAAGAGTCACAATAGACTTCTTTCAACATAATAATGTCACATTGTTACCATGGCCACCAAGATCTCCCGACTTATCCCCAATTGAGCACGTGTGGGATATGATGGGTAGGAGATTGCTCAATTTGCAACGTCCTCCTCAGACTCTAGAAGCACTTCGAGAGGAGTTGGTGGTTGCCTAGAATGAGATACCACAGGAGGACATTGACCACCTGATCAGAAGCATGCCTAGCCGCGTTGGAGAATGCGTAGCACATCAGGGTGCATCCACACATTATTAAAGGTCAAAGGGCTTTAAAGCAGTGCAATCATTTTGAAATTTTTATCATTTACTTATTATGCTTCATTAAGTACTTATACAAAATTTTATTAAAATAAAACCATTTAAACTGGTTGTTCGGATTTATATGTCACTTAGTATATGTATGGATGTACCGGAATATTTCAAACTAATTTTCACCAGTTTTAAGAAGTCTAGAAAATTTACGTAGGGGTCACTGGCCGATGGCAATGTAATAATTTTGTAAAAAAGAAAACATGATTTTGGAATTTAGAAAAAATCAGATTTGATGGAATATAATTAACAAAATTTGAAAACTGGATAATTTCAAGGTTTTGAAATTCTTGAAAAATATTTGGAAATATTGAAATTTTTTTGAAAATTTCGTATTTCGAAAAAAAATTGGAAGTAATATAAATTTATACAGGGTGGCGCATCGAAAACGAAACAGACGCATTTACTGGCAGCTCAGGTTTTTTTTTTTTGGAAAAACGCTCAGACCCGTCGATTTTGTGACACAAGTTTGGCAAAAAATCACTTAACACGTGCAGCTCCCTGGGCGGGGGTGACACCAACCCTAAAATCTTAAATGGAAAGGGGGGTCGAGTGATACCTTATTTTAAAGGTCTTTCAATTCCCTTTATAATGATGTAAAATATATGAGCTTTAGTTCAATAGTTTTGAAAATTTATTGATTTAAAGCGTAAAGTAGACTTTAATAGGTACCTACATCAGATTAGTTTGTATTACTTTCAGAAGAAATTTGACTAAAAGAATTTACTTAATAAGTAAATGCTTTTTTTCACTACGCCCATGGTTTGTTTATCATTTTGTTGTTGAAAATAGCTATTGGAGTGTTTTTTTTTGTGGCAAAAAAGTTATTTCTTGAAGAAAGATAAGGAAATATCTCGTACTTATTTTAAATAGGAATTTAGTACATAGTTTGCGATTGGTTTGACCAAACTTTGTTGCTAAAATAACTTGTAACGCTTTATTACATAAATTAACCATGTTATATTCCACAGCAGAAAGAGTTGAAATTATCGAAATATTTTTCGGAAATAATCAGTGCGCTAATAGAACAGCAGAAGTATTTAATGAGGGACAACAGGACAGTAACGTGCATCGAATATATGTTCTAGAACTTGTACCTAAATTTCGGAAAACTGGGCCAGTCGCCAACAAAAAACGCAACATTGAAAATCCCATAAGGAACGAAGCATTAGAAGGGGGTTTTAGGGCAAGTTTATGTAGATCCTACGTTAAGTACCCACAGATTGGAGACTGTGTGTAGTGTTAGTCTACGTACTGTCCAACGGATTTTAAAGGCCCATAGTATAAAATTCACCTGGTACAAGAACTTAATGAAGACGATTTTGATCGGCGATTACAATTTTGTGAAGATGAACAATTTCTATTCAACACTTGCTTTCCTGGCGAATGTTAATTTGCGTAGTTATAGTGCACACTTTTGACACATTTGCCTACCAATACCTGCCAAAGAGACAGCGTTCTATCAACACAATATTAGTACTTACCGGTGGGAACATCACCTCTTTGAAAATTATATAAGATATACAGGGTGGGCCATCAAGTTGAGCGGATTTTAATAAATCTTAGAAAAAAAACTATACAATGTAGGGAAGGTAATTTATATTTTTAATAAAGTAGACACATGGGAATTTTATTTTTTCAAAATAACATCATTGAAATGTGAGCCATTTCCCGCTCCTCGAATCTCGACTTCAAATTCGTGAAAACTCGCTGGGACATCGCTTGTGGGATGGCGGACATTTCCTCAAAAATGTCGTGCTTGAGCTGGACAATCGTCGTCGGTTTATTAACGTAACCGCGGCTCTTAACGTATCCCCAGAGAAAAAAATCCAGTTTTCCGCTAAACATTTCGTTTACAACTGCTTGGCGGTATGGGATGTCGCGCCATCTTGTTGAGACCAGGTCCTGGTATGGTAGGCTTCAAAATTATGCTGTTGTGGAAAGAAAAAGTTAAGTAGCATTGCTGTGTAAAGATTAGACTTTACTATTAACAGTATAGCCTTGCTCGTTTTCGAAGAAATACGGTCCGATGATTCCTTCAGCCGATGTGGCCGCCCAAACTGTAACATAACGCGAATGCAAAGGTCGTTGGTGTTTCAATTTGGAATTTTCTGCTGCCCAATACCGGTAATTTTGCTTGTGAAAATTAACGCAAATTAAAATGGTCTTCATCAGAAAAGAGAATATTGTTCAAACTTGGAAAGCGTTCTTTTTGCAATGCGCTCATTTTTTAACATCAGTGTGCGAAGAATCGACGTACGTATATGCAAGATTGAAAACTTTTAGGCCCGTATCGTCAGTCGTCCCTACAATTGTAGGGCGCGTTTATGGCCTCCTTGATTGTCATAGTTTTCTACTTCCCTGTGTCAGCGCTCAATTTTGAGGTTATGTCACAAACATCTATTTGCATCAAATTGTGCTTGCTTTTGAGTTTTATCATGTTTTATCAGCCTGAAATTTCCTACAATTTAAAAAGAAAGCATATCTTCACAATAGGAGAGCGCTGCCGCTGACACGGGACAAGTGTATAGTAAAAATCACGAAAAATAACTATTACGTCATATCATAAATTATACCGAAGTAATCAATGGACGTACGTCGATGATAAAATCACGATGTCAGGAACATAATGACAGCAAATCTATATTATGATTTTGCGAAGTTAGGTTATTTCACTGTATTTCTATTTTCATTTCATTTCATGGTTTTGAGTGATACCTTAATAATAATAATAATTTTATTGGGCAGTTTTTGTTTTGAAAAAAACAGTTATGAATAGAATACCTTAAGACAGGAACACCAAAGACCAAAGTATTATTCGAAAACAACTCAACCTGGTTTAACATAACCTTACTATTCATCTTTCAAATACGATGGATCATGCAATATGAAAACATCGCTTTTCTTTGTCGGATACGTGCAAATTAGCAATACAGTTTGTTTAGACAATAAAATTCTGTTTGTCTCTGTCTAACATATCTGAAACTTCATTAAAAATATTCCTACAAATCGCTGTCCTTAGTCTTTGCTAAAGACTAAAATGATGATGTAATCGTCATCTTTCGTGATTTCGACTATAATCTAGACATTTTTGAAGGATAGAAAGCAGTACCTACAATTGTAGGGCGCGTTTATGGCCTCCTTGATTGTCATAGTTTTCTACTTCCCCGTGGCAGCGCTCTATTTTGAGGTTATGTCACAAACATCTATTTGCATCAAATTGTGCTTGCTTTTGAGTTTTATCATATTTTATCAGCCTAAAATTTCCTACAATTTAAAAGGAAAACATATCTTAACAATAGGAGAGCGCTGACGCTGACACGGGACGAGTGTAATCTAGAAATTTTTTAAGGAGAGAAAAGATTATGACAATGAAGGAGGCCATAAACGCGCCCTACAATTGTAGGGACGACTGACGATACAGGCCTTAATGATTTAGGTACTAAAGAGGGAATACAAAAAAGCGACAAAATTAATAACTTATTTTATTGAAATACATGTTAAATCAGAATTGTTCGATACAGTAAATATAGGATTTGTAGCATGACATTTCAAAGTTAATAGCTACGTACGAGTCTTACAACTTGGAACACAAAATAGATTGATAAACATCTAACTGATATAGATAAATGTATGTGTATAATTTTATTGCAAAGTGGTAGTTGTGTGCCATATGAAATGGACTCTATGAGCACGGGGAACAGGGACTGTTTTTATACGAGGTCTGTAACTGCATAGTGGGTCATATCTGTCACAGTTATATTTTTCTTCAATTTATCCATTACAAAACGCATCATGCTCAACTACTTACGCATAACTGTCCGTATATGGCACAAGTCCATCATACCTGGCAATGTAACGCCATCTCAACGCGGCATTGTGAAGTTTTATGAAAATTTGCAAATGGTGGTCAAGAAACAGCTGATGCTAAAGCTTGTGAATTTTGATCTGCAAAGTTAGAGATTTCTACTGGACATTTTGGATTATTGAAAATAGCACCATCTAGGATACAACCTATATAAAGCATTCCTGTGAGTAGATTCAAGTATTTCTTTATATTTCACTGATTTTTGACCAAAAATGTATTTGTGTCATATATGGAACAGTATGCACTTTTGTGCAAAACTGTTTTGGACATATATGGCACAACATGCATTCTGAACCTTAGTATTTTAAGTTCTATTTATTTCAAGGTAACGGAGCCACAAAAGTCTTGTATCAGATATACCAGTGGATAGTGATGATGAACAGTTATCAGACGATGTTAACCCTCCATCGCTCGCACCGTTAGAAAAATCTAACATTTTTTAAATTTTTCTCATAAATTTGAAATTTTGCGGCTTAGCAGGCCCACCATCTAGGAATACTCCTTCAAACTAATCTACTATGTGAATCTGTGGTCGTGGGGAGGAGCTATTTTGTTCTAGTGCCGCAATCGCATAATGTTAGTTCCAGTCTAGCACGCGAGTGATGGCGTTCGGCCGCGGGTTAGATAAACAAATTGTAAACAAGCTTATTCTCCGAGATTTTACGTAACAATTGATTAAATGTTGGAGGCATTTCGGGGGAGATGCCGATTTTGACAATACATAGCCAACAAGCCCGCCAAATATGGGTTAGTAGATGCCAGAACATTTTTTACATCAAATCTTGAAATCTAGGCGGGTAAACAACCAGAGGGATCTAAAAAATTACGCAGCGAGCGTTGTATTGAGACTTATAGAGCCAATTAGTGGTACAGGAAGAAATGTAACCACTGACAATTATTTCACCTCAGTGCCATTGGCTAATAGCTTATTAGTAAATCATCGACTAACTACAATAGGAACAATAATCCTCAAATTCCTCGAGAACTTCTAGATGTGAAAAATAGACCAGTAAAAAGCAGCATGTTTGCATATGGTGAGGACTCTGATGAAAACCCCAATAAGTGCCTTCTTGTTTGATATGTACCAAAGCGAAACAAAGACGTGCTGTTATTATCAACCCTGCATGATGATAGTAAGATCAACGATGACACTGGAGATACTTTCAATTCCGAAGTTATTACAGACTATAATCTTACGAAAGGAGGCGTAGATGTGGTCGACAAAATGAAATCTGAATATTCAGCAGCACGATTCAGCAATAGATGGCCATATACCGTATTCTGTGGGCTTCTGAATATATCAACCATCAACAGCCAAATAATCTATCGAGAGAATACAAACAATATTATTACCAGAAGACAATTTATATCGGAACTTAGTAAATTGCTTGTCATGCCTCACCTGTATAGACGTTCTCAGATTCCAGGTCTGCCTTATCTACTTAGTCAAAAGATTAGAAACACAACTGAAGAAAGACCAACCCCAAAAAGAGACCAAGCCACTCAAGCCAAAGTGAGATGTGAATTCTGTCCATTGAGAAAAAACAGGTTCACTCAGAGAAATTTTTCAACCTGTAGATCACCGATATGCAAGGAACATACAGCAATAACTTCATTGACCTGTCATGAATGCTATGGACGTAACGAGAATGTTTAAAGTGCGTAAGTGTTATGTAAAGCATTCATGTAAACGCTTTCAATATATACCCTGCATTTATTTTTTTAGGGTTTTCTTCAACTCTAGAGGATTCCAGAATGAAACATCAGAAGAAGAAACCTTCAGTTCAGAAATTTTAGATGAAGAATTTTCAGTGTTTCGTTAGTATTTTTGTTATAGTTTATAACAATAATGTTTCACTAATGTATAGCTTAATACTATAAGTAATACTATACTTGACAATATAAACATTTAATTCAAGTAAAAATAGCATTTTTATTGAACATCTGAATGTTAGATAAAATCTAGCACGCGAGCGATGGTGTAATAAAATGAGGCGCGAGCGATGGAGGGTTAATCCAACCATTATATTGGCCCCGGAATCTGACTATGAATGTGATGGTGTAAATAATAATGCACCAGATATTATTATCCCAGAAACCGATTTAGAAAACACTTCTGATAGCGAGGACGATGATGTTTCCCTAGATGAATTGCGACGCAGGCTAAAGAAGAATAAAAAACATACTCATCCTACCTGAACTCAAGGAAATTTAGTATCATCAGACGATGATCTGAAATTTTTAGGTACTACAGACTTGTCTCCTGAATTGAAAGGTGTAGACTCCCCTTACACTTTTTTCAAGTTCTTTCTAACAGATGAATTGACCAAAGATCCCAACTAACAATTATCAATGGGAGTGGCCTATTAGAGTTGCAAGAATGATTAGAACAGCTATACAAGCAGAATGGGCACACCTAATAGGACACTTCAGTCATTTAAGAGGTTGTATATGGGCTGCAGGTAACAGTTATACAACAAAAGTGTAAGCCTCTTGCAGCCGCTATAGGACATTTGCATCAGTGCAAGATTCAGTTTTTGTCAACTATACAACTATTCTGTTACGTGATTCCACTTTATTGTAACCAAACTATTTCTTATGTATTGTATAGACGAAGTGAAGAATATATAACTAACACAATACAGTCATCTTGTTTACTTACATATCGGCCATTGTGAATTTCATACACAGGTATATGATAAACTTCTACACTGTGATATAGGGCTATTGAATTACTTGGGCAGCAAATTTTATTGTGATTATCGTGCAAAGTAGTTACGCAATTTCTACGGGCTTCGTATTTGATTCATATTTTGATAATGATCAAAAGTATGTCTAGATTTTTAAGATGGAAAACTTAACTTATCTGCGTTAAATCTTCCACAAATCCTTTATTTAGACACAATTACACTAATGTTTATCACTTTATATCTGTAATTTCGAACTGAAACATAACTATTTAATATCAAATAGAGGAATAAATGTTTGCCCAGTATGGCGGGTGGTTGTGTATAATCATGTTGTCTTTAGTTTATTAGAATATTTTGGTGTTGCCTGCAGGTGTTATACAACAATTTGACAAATGTCAGAAATGAAATACCGACAGAGTCGAATGATTTACCTAGAATTTGTACCAAATCTATATCTTCTGTTTGAACAGTTGATAAAACCTTTTTGTCTTAAATCATTGGCTATGACATTTTAACAAAAATATGACAGCAGAAAGTTAGGTTATGGTGAAGTTGTATACCAACATATTTAGCATATGTACAGCCTTTAACAGTTACTAAACAACAGTTGTATAAGTGCTTCCGTTGGGAGCAACTTGTTAGCTAAAGTAGTAATATGCACAGCAAAACAACAAGGCTCGGGTTTGTTTTATAAACGTTAGCATGGGTGCCACAACACAACTATTTTGACTAACTTGCAAATATGCCGTATAAAATAGTTGTATAAACGTTTATGCAACAGTTAAAAATTTGTCCTATAAGGTGTTGTATAACTATGCTATAAGAATATTCTAAACACCACATTTTAGAGCAAATATGTAGCAGAAAGCACATTTGCATTCCACACAACATTAAGCCAGCGTTTTGGTGTTCAGGCAACAACAATAGAGAGCTCTTATGGCTGGACGGTTCTTTTACCAAAATCTTATAGCACTACTTTGCTAGTTGGTAACCTACCAGCTGACGGCGATCGGAGTTCCAGCACTGCTGCTTTGGGGGAGAGGACATAAGATTGCAATTATATGTGAATAAATCAATGTAAAAAATTGGCTTCATCACTTAACTTACTGACCTCCCACACGTTAACTGATTCCTAATGAACTTTGGCCATATGGAACTCCAGGCCTAACTTGGACTGATATGAAGTACAGCAAAACGCGCATTCGAAAAGCTCTGACTTAACTGTATTCTTGGAGTGGCTCAAAGCATGTGATGGAAGTCTTTCTTTGATAGTAGTTTTATAGTCACATTGTACACATGAAAATATTTCGCTGGTAACTGCTTCGGTAGAATGGGGATGTTTATATATGATATGATCGTCCAACCACTTCTTACCTCTTGTAGTTTTGAATCTACACATTTGACATGCTAGAGTTTCTCTGGAGTTCGACGATATAGAATCCGGATGGCTTTTAAACATATGATCGTAGATGGCAGCTGCAGTTCTAAATACTTCGTGACACTGACTGCATTTAAACGGCCTGAATTTTCGGAACTCTGAGTGTGTCCAAAGATGAGTGGCCATGTAATTTTTTGAAATAGTTCGATAATCACATTCTGGACACCGATATATTCTGTTAGTCACAGAATCTATCAAATCAGGGTGGTGCTTTATCACGTGATCGTCTAGACTACATTTCTTTTTGTATGTTTTATGGCAAGGCTTACAAGTGTGTTCTAATCTATGCGACTTTTTATGTTGCGTTGTCATATGTCTGACTAAACTAAATTTAGAGTTGGCTGAGTAGTTGCAATTGAAGCAGGTTAGAGAGTTTTGGCCTGCAGTGGTCATTCTTGTAGCACTGAAAAAGAGGTAAATTATTATGACAATGCTCAATACAGACGGACGTATAATAGTCAATAAATCTGGACCGAGAATAACATTAAGCAATTTAGAATATAATGTCACACAACATCGACTATATTAAGCGGTGATCGATTGTTTCGATTGGTAGTAATTGGTAGGGGTTCGGAAATTGTCGCATGACGTCGACGCGGTTTTCGCGGTTTTTTAGGAGGTTCGCGGTACGTTCGGAAGGAAAGAGGTACCGTTTCGGAAAGTAGAAACTCGGCGCTTTACCGGGGAGCGAGAGCCGTCGCGGTGAGAGGAACGGATCGGATCGAAAACGGCCGGTAAAATCGAAAAATCGACCGTTTTTCGGACGGTACGCGGCGTTATTTCACACTGGTTTCGCCGTTTATCGAAATATCGACTCGAGATCGGTCTCGTTCGATAGCTAAACGAAAAATACGTGCCTATTAGCTAAATCTGTTCGGTTCCGCGTCTCGGTTTTTTTTCTAGAAATGTTCGAAAAAAAAAGCGACAAAAATGACGAATCGCCTTGAAAACTACGATATCTCCCTTATGCCGAAGAGAAAAGGAATTTCGCGTGCCGCGTTTCGTACATCTCGGCGAGCGCTACAAATTACGCGGAGAGACGCTTTTTCGTTTACGGTACCCGTTTCGAATAAACGAACCTCGAACGTCGTCAAGAATGACTTTTTTGCGTATAAAGCGCGCTGCTTCGCCGTATATCAGCTATATCCTCCGAAGATAAAGGAGCTACGAACCTGACGATTTTTGCGTGAGAAAGCCCATGCTTCGGACACTCTTATAATACTGTTTTCATCATCATTATTCGTTTACGTTGAAAAGTTTCGATTTTTTAAAAATTCCTCGACAATACGCTACTTTTCGACGCGTGAAAAAGTCACCTTGTCATCCGGCTCTGCCCTCGCTTATTACTACCGTACGTGAGCGAGTAAAAATTATACAGCTATTGAAAAATAACGATAATAAGCTGACGAAACGATTCTGACCGTCAGAATTACCGTCAAATCGACTATATTAAGCGGTGATCGATTGTTCGATTTGGTATAACTGGTAGGCGTTCAGAAATTGTCGTATGACATCGACGCGGTTTTTCCGGTTTTTTTCCCGGTTCGCGAAACGTTCGGAAGGAAAGCGATACCGTTTCGGAAACTAGACGGTCGGCGCTTTACGGGCGGGTGAGAGCCGTCGCGGTGAGAGGAACGAATCGGATCGAAAACGGCCGGTAAAGTCGAAAAATAGGTGGTTTTTCGCGCCGTCGAGACGTTTACCCATCAGCCGCGTCGCCGTTTATCGAAATATCGACTCGAGATCGGTTTCGTTCGATAGCTAAACGAAGAGAGACGGGTCTGAGCTTGAATCTGTTCGGTTCCGCGTCTCGGTTTTTTTTTCTACAAATCAATAATATTAAGCGGTGATCTTTTGTTTTTTTCGGATAGGGGCGTTTTGACGTCGGTGTGGTTTTTGGGTTTTTTTTCAGGGTTGCAAATGGTTTTATTAGAAAACGATACCGTTTCGGAAACTAAGAACTCGGCGCTTTACGAGCGAGTACGAACCATCGAAGTATGAGGATGAAATGACAATGGCGTGTAAAAAACAGTGGTTTTTCGCGTAGTGTGAAGACCGTGAAAGCCTATATTTTTCCGTTTATCAAAATATCCTGTCGGGATCGGTCTCATTCGATAGCTAAATGATGAGCGATCCCGATAGAGCAGCCCTTTTATGATCCGCATCTTGTTTTTCTGTTCTAAAAATTTTGAAGGAAAAAACGAGAAAACGGCAAATTTTGGTAAAATCGCCAATATCTCCTCCATGCCAAAGAAAAAAGATATTTTGCACAACCCGTTTTGTACATCTCGACGAGTACTATGAATTACCCGAAAAGAGTTTTTTCCGTTTAGGACAACCGTTTCGAATGAAAAAATTTCAAATGCTGTAAAATTGGCTTTTTTTGGTCACAATCGCGTTTTTCGATTTTTATGAGCTATCTCCTCCGAAGATAATGGAGATAGAGACTTAGCGATTGAAAGCCCACACACCGGACTACAGTTTAAAGGTTTTTTCATGTCTTTACTCGTTAATGTATTAACATACGACGGTCGGATGAGTACTTGGCATACAAAAGAAAAACGAAATTTTTGGAAAAGTGCGATTTATTTCTCAACATAGTCTCCTTTTAGCTCGATACAATGGACCCAGTGATGCTCCCACTTCTTTTCCTCGTCTGAAAAATACGTTTACTGGGGGGTCTGCAAAGTGCAACAAACGGTAACGTGGCCAATTATCGAAGCGAATCGTGCAATGTTAGAAAGAGTACGCCTATGGCAACGCGGCAAGCCGCAGCTGCGTCCGTGATCTGGTCACTTGGGTTGCTAGGCAACATGGTGCTTCTATCTCTTTCTAACACACGTATTGCACGCTTCTCGCGCTGCTTTCTCGTACATATTAAGACGTTAGAGGTATATGGATTTCTCTGTATATCAGTAACATTCAATCTGAATCTAAGAATTTATTGTACTGTCAGTATACAATGAGTAATACATTTTTCCCAAAACAAAATAAAATTACAATAAAACACATTTTACATCACGCAATTCTTATTGTACTCTATCGAATATTACAATGATTGTACAGGGATTATTAAAGGAATTCATGATTTAGAAATGAAAGGTGTTCATAATTAACGCAAGATTTGAATTTGTCGCCATGTTTGCAGTAAATAGTAGGCAGCCCTAAAAAAAGAGCAATTTGATAGCCGAGAGGTTACGGTTATACTACAACTATTTAAAACTGTAATGAGTCATACGCGTGATCAACACGTGATCAGAGCTCGATCCCGGCTTCCTTCCAGTACAGCCGTATAGCGTACGACATATGTCGTTTCTGTGGCTTTGCGGTGGTCAACAGCATAGACAGAGAGGGAAATAATGGCTGATTGTTCTCCGCCGGTAGAACCAATGAAATCAAAGACGCGCCTCGACCGGCAGACTCATAGGCGTCGGCAACGCATTGGAACGTGTTTCGTTGAGCGATCGCATATTGTGTGTTTTTATAAGAATTGTTGTGTGATTGTTATTGTTGTGGTTTCTGTGGTTACTGTTTTGGTTATACTTAACCATGGAGAGTACAAATGGCACGAGTGGAAGTACTGAAAAGGGAACAAGTAGACGGCTTCGTAAAGCACTGAAGAGGGACGCGAAAGAAATCGTGCTCAACGTGTTCAATTATCTGAACAGAACTCGCGCGTTGTGAAAGTATGACAGGCGTTCCAGAGTGGACCATTCGCAGGGTGGTGCATGAAAAGAAGAAAACTGGAGCTACTACTGATCCCAAGTTTAATTTGAAGGGACGAAAGGCGGTTAAATTGGATGACTATAGCAAAATGTCGTTAAGGCGAACCGTACATTCATTCTTCTTTAGGAATGAGATACCAACCCTCAAGGCTGTATATGCAGCGATCAAGGAAAATGAAATTATACCCCAAATGAGCGTCGAGGTAATGAGGAAATCCCTGCACCACTGTGAACTGAACCCAGTAGAGCTCATCTGGGCTCAAGTGAAGGGTCATATTGCGCGCCTTAACACAACCTTCAAATTACCAGACGTTAAGGTTTTACTTGAGACTTCCATACAGCTAGTAACGCCCGAAGCTTGGCAGAATGCTATCCGTCATGTTGTGAAGGAAGAAACAAAAATGTGGCAGCTTGACCACCAGATCGACACCATCATAGAGCCAGTTATAGTCATTTTCAACGAGGAAAGCGATAGCGACAGTTTATTACTGTCAGATGTACGTGGAAGCGACGATGAATAGAGGTAATTCCCAAATTTTTGACTTACAATATGTTTCAAACCACTCTTTATTAAACATGTGACAAATCTAGTTCACCCATGTTAAACATTCATACTCCGCCTATGAACAGCCGACTACTGGTAGTTAAGTGATGTTCACGTGAACATCGATGAGTCATTACAGTTTTAGATACACACACCGGTCGTCCAAAAACAAGCCGTTCAAATGTCCATGTCGAACCAGCGCGTGAGAGTGTTGGTGAAAACCCAGGAACGTCAAATCAGCGTCGTGGAGAATAATTGCAAGGTTCAAGAAGCTCTTTACAGCGTATACTCGCAAATGATATGTGACCCCATGCTTACAAGACTCAATCAACACTAACGCCTAATGACCATGAACAGCGAAGAGAGTTCGTGAAATGGATATTTGAACATCAACAAGTGGATGCTGATTTTTCGAGCAAAATCATCCTAAGCGATTAAGCACATTTTCACCTTGATGGCTTTGTTAATCGCCGAAATTGAAAAAAATGCACCCACAACGTTTCAGTTTGATTAGGATTTTGGGCTGGAGGCATCATTGGACCATACTTATTTGAAAATGAGACTGCCCAACTAACAATTATCACTCCTATTAGAGTTGCAAGAATGATTATACAGTATTCCTTACACAGCATTGTATACTGTAAGAACATTGGCAAAACCCTCTTAGAACAGCTATACAAGCCGAATGGGCACACCTAATAGGACACTTCAGTCATTTAAGAGGTTGTATAAGGGCTGCAGGTAACAGTTATACAACAAAAGTGTAAGCCTCTTGCAGCCGCTATAGGACATTTGCATCAGTGCAAGATTCAGTTTTTGTCAACTATACAACTATTCTGTTACGTGATTCTACTTTATTGCAACCAAACTATTTCTTATGTATTGTATAGACGAAGAGAAGAATATATAACTAACACAATACAGTCATCTTGTTTACTTACATATCGGCCATTGTGAATTTCATACACAGGTATATGATAAGCTTCTACACTGTGATATAGGGCTATTGAATTACTTGCGTAGCAAATTTGATTGTGATTATCGTCCAAAGTAGTTACGCAATTTCTACGGGCTTCGTATTTGATTTATATTTTGATAATGATCAAAAGTATGTCTGGATTTTTAAGATGGAAAACTGAACTTATCTGCGTTAAATCTTCCACAAATCCTATATTTAGACACAATTACACTAATATTTATCACTTTATATCTGTAATTTCGAACTGAAACATAATTATTTAATATCAAATAGAGGAATTAATGTTTGCCCAATATGGCGGGTGGTTGTGTAAAATCATGGCATCGTCCATGTTGTCTTTAGTTTATTGGAATATTTTGGTGTTGCCTGCAGGTGTTATACAACAATTTGACAAATGTCAGAAATGAAATACCGACAGAGTCGAATGATTTATCTAGAATTTGTACCAGATCTATATCTTCTGTTTGAACAGTTGATAAAACCTTTTTTACCAAGATGCATGCGTTGTTTGCCTTAAAACATTGGTTATGGCATTTTAACAAAAATATGACAGCAGAAAGTTAGGTTATGGTGAAGTTCTATACCAACATATTTAGCACATGTACAGCCTTTAACAGTTACTAAACAACAGTTGTATAAGTGCTTCCGTTGGGAGCAATTTGTTGGCTAAAGTAGTAAATTTGCACAGCAAAACAACAAGGCTCGGGTTTGTTTTATAAACGTCACCATGGATGCCACAACACAACCATTTTGACTAACCTGCAAATATGCCGTATAAAATAGTTGTATAAACGTTTATGCAACAGTTAAAAATTTGTCCTATAAGGTGTTGTGTAACTATGCTATAAGAATATTTTAAACACCTCATTTTAGAGCAAAAATGTTGCAGAAAGCAAATTTGCATTCCTCACAACATTAAGCCAGCATTTTGGTGTTCAGGCAACAACAATAGAGCGCTTTTATGGCTGAACGGTTCTTTTACCAAAAGCTTATAGCACTACTTTGCTAGTTGGGTGGTGAGGTAGTAACTGTTACTGGTCCTGCATATCGCGACATGATAACACCGAAATTGGATATGTCCAATATGTAGTTTCAACAAAACGGTGCCACAAGCCTATTTAATTCAAAACTTGCGTTAATTTTGGGACACCATTTATCAGTTAATGAATCACAGTTCATCTAACATCTGCCAAAACTAGCCTATGTACATGTTGTGTACCATTCTCAGGTGATTGAGCACACCGCGCTTGCTTACGCATATCATATTACAAAAGGTACATTTGTGCCTGTGTTCTGACTCCCAATGTCTAGAAAGATCCAATTCGTTGTTGGCTGTAAAATCACAATGTCCACATAAAAACCCTCCGTTGCTAGTTGGTTCAGTACTTCCAACAGAGTCTGGATGACTTTTAGCAACATGTTCATTAAGTTGTCTTTTCGATGTAACGCCAACATTGCATTTTGACCATCTATGTTTAATCTTTAACACTGCCTTATGTGCAGATATATGTTTGACGAGTTTAGACTCCATAGTGGTTTTGAAGGAGCAATGGGCACATTCGAGTACTGGACTGCTGACCGACTTTATCTGATCAAAATGGTCTTCTATGATATGTTCATCCAACGCTTGTTTACTTGTAGTTTTGAAAGAGCAGCATGAATATGTTTCTTGTTCATCAGAAACCTCATGGTCTTGCATATGTAGGCGCATCTTTTCTTTGATATACGTTTTAAATGGACACAATGAGCACTGTTTTTCTTCAAAAGCTGCTGACTCCGTAGCTGGCGAATCGTGTTCTAGGATATGTTTCGCGAGGATCTCTCGGATTTTAGTTTTGAAAGGACAATCGCTACATAAGTAAATTCCACTACCAATGGATTTTACGAACTCTGGATGTTTTCCAACTATATGATTATCCATCCAAATCATACCTTTATTAGTTCTAAACGTACAGACTGTACATTTCAAATATCCCACAGAAGCATTCGAGCCATCTACTTTAGTTGTAAGCAACGTAAGAGTAGGATGTTTCTTGAATAGATGCTCAACAAGTTTAGATTCCTGATTAAATGTCGCCTCACAGTGTAAACATTTCAATGTGCTTGATTTGAGTTTCTTGACAGAACCTACATAAGGGGGAAGAGACAGGCCAACATGTTCTTTAGCCTTCATATGTTTCATGAGGTTATCTTGGACAGTGGTTTTGAAAGAACAATGATTACACACGTGGATTCCGCTACGTTTGGGTTTGACAACGTCTGGATGTGTTTCAATTATATGATTATCTAACCTTATCATACCTTTATTCGTTCTAAACGAACATATTTTACATTCCAAATACTCAACACGACCTCCCAAATGATTCAAACCATGTACTTCAAATATGAGCATAGTAATATTAGGATGTTTTTCATACAGATGATGATTAAGTTTAACTTCTTGACTAAATGGTGCTAAACAATGCAAGCATGTCAAAGTATTTGATTTAAGGTTCTTGACAGGACTCACATAAGGAGGAAGAACTTCTTTGGCCACAATATGTTTTGTGGGGTTATCTTGGATATTGGTTTTGAAAGAAAAATCACTGTATTCGTAAGTTTTGCTAGCAATGGGTTTGATGAAGTCTGGATGTTTTCGTACCAGGTGCTTATCTAGCCATATCATACCTTTGTTAGTTCTAAACGAACATATTGTACATTTCAAGTACTCAAAAGACTCGTACAAACCGTGCACTTCAGCTGTGAATGAAGTAACATTTCGATGTTTTTCAAATAGATGCTCAACAAGTTTATCTTCCTGATTAAATATCGCCTTACAATGTAGACATTTCAATGTACTTAGTATGGGTTTGTTGGAAGAACTTACATACGGGGGAAGAGACAGATTACGATGTCTTTTGGCCTGGTGGATATCTAACAGACGTTTTTGTTTAAAAATTCTATAGCAATATTTACATTGATTTGGAAATAGATGCTTAATAAGTCCATCTTCTAGATAAAATGTCGCCTTACATTGTAAACAAATGTATGTATTCGATTTTGGTTGATAAGGGTGAAATATGTGTTTACATTTAGATTCTAATGAATGTATTCTATCATACTGTGCCATGAGCTCATTTAAATTAGATTTACTGGACGTGGAGTTAACTTGTGCCGTCGTGTTTTCTGCAGAACTGAAAAAGAGGTCATTATTATTCATAAGCTAATCTCATAAGTCGCTGTTCTCACCAAAAGCAATTTGACGGCAACCCGACTTCAAACTTCCGTTTGCACTCCTACGAAAAAAAACTGCCAAGCAACTGCCAGCCTTGTGTTGATGTGAGTAAAGCCACTGACTACAGTATGTCCAAAAAGAAGAAATTATTGATACGAGGGATGTCTTTTAAGTTTTGTATATGGAAATAAAACAACACGGTAGGTAGTTTTAAATGACTTTATTTTTGAATGCGTCAACTGCTTCTTCTGGTGACTGGAACCTTTGACCACGCAGTCTATTTTTAATTTTCGGGAAAGTAAAGAAATCGTTAGGACTTAGATCGGGACTATATGGAGGATGGTCCAATAATTCCACGTTTTCTTCCGTTAAATATGCCTTGCTTTTGGGCTGTTTGCGAGCTTGTATTGTCTTGGTGGAGGATGATTCTTCTTCCGGGGTTAATTTTTCGAGGCTCGGTGATGACTTTTGGCAAACAAATGGTGGTATACCAATCCGCAGTAACAGTTCTTTGCTCATTAAGAGGAATTGTTGCAATATGACCCGCTTTTGACACAAATGTCGCGACCATCTTTTTCGAAACACTTCGAGAACGGATGACTTCTGTTGGCTTTTCTTCACCTTGGAACACCCAAACAGCCGACTGTCGTTTATTTTCTGGTTCATAACAGTAAAACCGCGATTCATCAACACTAACAATGCTGTATACATTTTTTGAGTTTCCGGAATTGAAACGGTGAAGCGTTTTACTCCTAATTCTTCATCTAAAATTTTTTGAATTAAGGTCTTTGAGATCTTCAAGGACGCCTCAATTTTGCGATATGTCACATGTCTATCTTCAATGATGAGTTTGCGCACAGCACCGACGTTTTTCTGGGTGACTGCCGTTTTTGGAGTACCCACCCTGGGGTCGTCGCTAAGACTCACCTGTCCACGTTTGAATTCTCCATACCAATGGGGAATTGTCGACTGATGTGGCGCTTCATTGCCGAAAACAGACAGTAACTCAGCAAGGCATTCTTGTTGCGATAATTGTCTCTGAAAGTTGTAATAACTTATGGCGCGAAAATGTTCTCGGTTGAGTTCCATTTTTCTAATGACTTGGTGATACTTAAAAATTCACTGTAGTGAGAATACTGCACTTTGAATTTAAGTTTACTAAAGAGTGAGGTTAAGATTCAGTACTGACGTTCGATCCGATGTTTCTATATGCAAAACTTAAAAGACATCCCTCGTAATTAATTTATTTTATATTATTTTTAAAAAATAATATAATTTAAACAAACGATAGAAGCTTTCCCTAGCTAGCCAATGGTCGTCTTGGAATTGACCTTGACCAAAGGTCATTTGAAGGTTAGGTCGATTTTTTTTGAATGGAAACCCTCATTTTTGACCCCGTTAATGGAAAGAACGCAAAATTTTTCGTTATTGACCATTCTTGAATTTTGACCTTAGGATCAAGGTCAACCTCAGGTACGGTAATATAACTTCAAAGCGAGTAGACGTATAGGGAAACTACCCATAATTTTCATGAATTTTGACCTTGACCACGACCTACAAGGTCATTTGAAGGTCCACCGTTATTTAATGGGGCCCCATACTTTCGACCGCGGAAATGGAGAAAAGGGAAATTTTATGTTCGAATATATCCTTGCCCATTTTTGGAACTTGACCTTGGATTTGACCATCGAGGTCAAACAAGTTTACCTTAATTTGACTTAAAGTGATATGACCTTCAAGGTCATGTGAAGGTCAGATCCAAGACCGCCATTGGACATCCGGAGAAAAATCATGAAAATAATGACCCTGTAGTTTCCCTATACGACTACTGAGTTTCAAGTTATACCGAACCTGGGTTTGACCTTGATCTCCTAAGGTCAAAATTTAAAAATTATCAACACTATAATTGAACGTAAAATTTTCCGTTCTTTTCATTTGCAGGGTCAAAAATGGAGGGTTCTGTTTAAAAAAAATCGACTTGACCTTCAAACGACCCTGAAAATCATTATCAAAGTCACATCCAAGGTCACCATTAGATAGCTGGGGAAAACCCCTATCAATCGTGGGTCTCAGTTTTTACATACTATGCTCACAAATTATCGTGGGTTCCCGAACCCTGTAGAGTAAAAATGTGGAAGTTGAAAGTAACAGCTGAAATCTTCATCTTTGTATAACTACTATTTGGTACCACCTTGTATACCTACATATTTCTTGGATCTGATGATCAATGGTAGCCCTCCCAGAAGATTTTCAACACTGCTGCTCCAACTGAATCACAAACACACGATACAGAAGTACCTTTAACCGATTATGAATTAATTTTTGAAGATTTGACCTGAACATTAGTGTCTCAGTGACATCCACAACTTTCATCAGCTCATCAGCTGACGGGCAACTGCAAACCCAAACCGATTAGCAATGGCAATGCCAGTAACTACTGCCGTCTATTTGGTATGAACGCTTGTATTTGAATACGTGCCAAGTCGGGTTGCAGTTGCTTTTGGTCAGAACATTACATATAGAAAAAATCCAAAAATCGGACAGAATCCAGGATAAGGAGCCTATCCATGGGAGCTCAATGCCCGTGGCAGATACAGCTTACGTTAAATTAGAAAAATCCGAGTTCTTTGGCGCGTATTCACTTGCCGTGGAGAAAAATTTCGTGGCTTACTGAGGTATTTGGGAAAAACTAAAATTTGGCCAGAACGTTTTTAAGACATATCAAAAAACAAATGGAACTCAGAAGCATGAGTGCTGGTGGCAAAGAAATTTTGCACTTGCAAGTTTGCTTTTTTCGATTTTGTTCACAGGAAAAAATAGATACCCGAATGGTATTTGACAAGAGTATTCCATGAGTAACAGATGATTATGCATACAAGTTTTGCCGCAGGTAAGCTCGAAGAAACTGCTGAAAGGTGCTGTCATACAATTTTTCCACCTAGAAACCATTTGTAATTCAAAATTACGCGTCTGTGATCGATAGAAATTAAGACTAGAGAAATAGTCAGATGAAATTTTACTCTGGAATATCATGAAACTTTATTTTTAGAACGTCTCAATAAAAGGCTCTTATTAGTAGAACTGCCGAAGGTGAACATGTTAAAATAAAGTCAGAAAAATGAAAATGATTTGGACAAATTTGTATGATCTTGGGTTTTTGTTATCATTAAATGCGTCATCACAAAGCTCCTCATCATTGAGAAGTGAACCTAGTGAATCCCCCCCCACGTTCTATTAAGAGAAATAACCTGGGATGCAACTCTGCAATCAGTGTAAAAAGTAGTATAAAACGAAAAATAAGAAAATCAGGAATTAGCTGTTTTCCTTCCTCATTTTAATAACTGACCTCCTAGATGTAAGGCATCTTAGCAGACACTTTGGTGAAACCAGCTTTCTTGTAACTTGGATGATTATAAGATCTAGCATCCGATACTACACTTACCTTTCTACACCAGCAGATTCTGAGGATGGATCAGTTTCATCCTTGATATCTAATTCTTCTTTGAGCTGCAGAGGATATATTTCTGCATTTTCACTTTTAATACTACAACAGATAAAAAATATTATAGAGACTCAGCCAGCTTCATGCAAGACTTCTGGAATAATGTAGAAAATTTACATTGTGGTCTACTTTAATGTTGGATTTATGCAAACATAACTTGGAACTTGAGCCAGAACCAATAAGGTTTGACCTACATGTCTTCCCTCAAGCAAGACACAATATAAATAGCTTACTGGTTCTGCTTAATTCTGCCTTAAATTACATAAGTCTGTACAAGTTCAACATGAATGAGATTAATGCTGGACTTATGAAAACTTAATTTAAACTTATGGCAGAACAAAAAATGTGTTGGAAGTATTCTATTGTACAAGGTAGTATGAAAAAGGTGCCAGTAGGTTACAAGGAAAAGTTCTACTTCCCTCTAGCTTTGTTTTCCTTCCATTACCACTTATAGTCATCAAAACATTATAAAAATTACCTGTCCAGCATCACACTCTCCATTGAAGGTTTATCACAATGAATTGCAGGGTCTAGAGTATCCATATCTTCATGACTTCCTAGTTCTTCATTTTTAATTTCAATTTTAAATAAGTTTTGGTCTTTTACATCTATCATTTCACATTGGTCCAATTCTTCAATGGGTATTTCTTCTTTCTTTATTCTGTAATAGCAAATTCTTTGATCATAAACAACCCTCAGATGGCAGCTGAGTTCATGAGATGATAAAGGAATCAATGTACCTATCCACCAGGTCAGATGTTGAACATGCATCTTTGGTGTCAGCATCTTCAATTTCTTCTTTAGTGGTCAAGTCTATCATTATGAATTTGCTTTCCCCGTCTTTCTCCATCACTGCAATATATTCACTGACACAGATGCATTTCACATACAAGAACTTCTTGAAAAAAGTGCCTCACTTGGAAATTTCGATTTTTTCTTGGACATGGATAGAATGTTCAGTAGAAAAATGATGTGGCATAAAAACGGGCTTAAATTGAAGCATCAAAAACCGGTCTAAATGGGGTAATAAGGCTTCACCTTATCTTCCCTTGCTTTTATCAAATAAAAATGAAATAGTTATGGAATTAAATCAATATTTAGAAATTCCACTATCAGTATCATCAAAACAGTCAATATGTCAAGTAGAAGTCAATAATCAAATCCAAGCGGATAGCCAAATGAAAATGGCATTTGGTATTGGGTTGGTATTTACCGATCCGTTCAAGCGAGTGTGGTTATCAGTTTGGTGACGTCATGAATCAGCTGTTATATGTCATAGTTATCACCGCAAAATTGTGGTATTTACCCAACTCAGGAGTAGTTTTATATTTCTGGTTATTATTTGAAATGTGACAAGTTAGAATTTTGCCGGGTATTGGATATTGTTATTGTACTTCAGCTTCATTTTTGGGAAACTTGATACAGGCTGACTTCAGTTTTACCATAAAGTGGAGCACTTTGTTAGTTATACTCATTACTGTTGTTGGGGACACTTTGTAGCCATATACCACAAGAATACTAAAATATGGCCATATAAACTCACTAGATGATGTCCACCTGTATACGGTTTTGCTAATTTCTTTTTTCATCATTTCTGCTGAATCAATAAATGTTTTCTTTGACATTCGGAAAACTTTAGAGAATTGAAAGTTATCATAGCTACAAAGCCATGGTTCCATCATTAAAAAAAAATTCTGAAAAAAAAACATTTCTCCCATGAATATTATGAAAGGTTTCTTATTTAAACTTTCCATACACAGTTGTAGACGAAAAAGCACCGATTATTAAGTGATAATAAAAGTTATCAGAGATTATATACGCGCTTTTCTAAAATAAACTTGAAAGAAACCGCTGTTAAAACCAACGCGTTCAAGCGATTCGAGTAACTGACGTCATCATCCCGTGTGTCATCCTGAACCATATTATAACCGCGGCACATAACACAGAAATTTTGGTTATTCGCTTGGATTTGATTTATAAACTATATAGACAAGTTTGGTGTACAACCGGTTGCTTAGACGGAAATTAAAAGACGAAAAATTGATTAATTGCTTGCGCCGGTGGCTCAACCGGTGAATTAAAGAATCCGCCTCATGTCAACTAGAAGTCAATGTCAATCAACAGTCATATCACAGATTAGGTCAAATTTCAAGTCTCTTTTCTCGGAACACAAAATTTGTAATGCATCTATTACACGGTAAGAAGAGCTAATAATAATGTTACCCTATTGGCTAAAAAAAGGGGGCGTGGTTTAGCAATCATGTGATTCGTCAGATAATATATCTGTATCATTTATTGGTTGTGTGGAAAACGGCATCAGCAGAGATAAACCCTTCTGGCATCAGTTTTCATCTTAACCTCACAAGACACGGGCATACTCGGAGATCAGTAACTACTGTACGACGTACGACGGTTTATTACATTTCTTGTTGTATGAGATATGTTTTATCGTTTTGTGATTAAGGTTATGTTGCTGATGTTTTGTTGAAGTGTTAGCTTTTATTTTAAATTGTGTTTTAAAATATTCGTGATTAGTAAAAAGGATATGACTGTCGTTGTTCGTATAACTCATACATCTTGAAGTGTTATATAGGACCATCAGAGAATTTAACCGTACAAATATGCAGAACAATACTAATTCTCGCGATCGCGAGAACAATCATCATTCAAGTTCTTCACACCCCCATGTGATGAATATGCGAGAGAAAGAAAAATATATAGAAACATTCAATTTCCCTTACTGTGATCTAACCACCAAGTATGAAAAAGTAACTAAAATAGGCCAAGGTACTTTTGGGTAAGTCGTTTTCTGAATGTTTGCATAAGCAAGAAAATCATTAAATTAATTGATATTTCAGAGAAGTGTTCAAAGCTAGGGACAAAAGTAATCCTAAGAAGTTCGTTGCCATGAAGAAGGTTCTTATGGATAACGAAAAAGAAGGGGTATGAAAAGTGAAACTTGATTTTGTTGATATGATTAATAACATAACCACTTTTTCAGTTCCCTATCACAGCACTCAGAGAAATAAGGATCTTACAACTGCTGAAGCACGAAAACGTAGTGAATTTAATAGAAATATGCAGAACACAAGCCTCTCAGCACAATAGATATCGCTCAACGTTCTATCTTGTATTTGACTTTTGCGAACATGACTTAGCCGGACTTTTATCTAATGTAAATGTAAAGTTTAGTTTAGGAGAAATTAAAAAAGTGGTGCAGCAACTATTAAATGGACTGTATTATATACATAGCAATAAAATTTTACATAGGGATATGAAAGCAGCTAATGTGCTTATAACGAAGAATGGAGTGTTGAAACTTGCTGACTTTGGACTTGCTAGGGCTTTCAGCACAAACAAAAACGGCATGCCAAACAGGTAAGCAACACTAAAAAATGTAATAATTTGAACTAAGGGAGGGTCATTTATGTTAAATTTAAGCTGAAAGTAAGAGTATAAGAATTCCAAAAACAGACAATCAATGGTCATACCAAAAAAAAAAGTATTTGGGGGTGAATTATAATGTTTAATTAAAAATGTAAATGGTGTTGAAATTATGAGAATTTGGTAACTAATATTAAGATGTTACAAGTGAATGCTTTTTATTTATTTATCAACGAGCGACTGCCTAATTAAAATACAGCTTAGAAAATCTAATATAAAGCTAATCCTACTTTGACTTAGATATTTATTAAAACAATGGCAATCACTTTACAATCCTGATCATTTCTAAATTTAATTAAAATTTAAATATATGGGGAAATTAAATATTACAGACAGAAATCTAATTGAATTTTGAATGTTTTCTGACTTCTGAAAAAATCCAACTTATTGAATATTGATTTGCTAACCTTGAAGATCTAGATAGGGAGGAATTACTAGCATAATTAGTACGAAATGATCTGTCATGGAATGGTTGATTCAGTCTTGTTTGACAAGAAGGCACATATTTTTCAAAAGTTCTGGAGCAAAACTAAGAGAGTGCATAAATATTATAAAATAGTGACAGGTCCCTCTGATTCCCTCTTACCTGAAGGGTTGGGATATTGAGAGAGCTTTCAATGATGGAAGAGATAATATCTTCAACCATGTTTTGTTTCAATGAAATGAATCTTAAGAATTTATGTTGCACTCTCTCAATTTTGGGTGACCAAACACAAGAACAATACTCTAAATGGGGCCTCACTTACATGTAACTGCCAAAATTGCATCTATTAACACACGACGAACAATTTGTGAAGCCTATGGTATTATTAAATTATCACAGAATAATGATTGTTTGTTCTAGATTCACAAATCGTGTGGTAACCCTGTGGTACCGTCCACCCGAGCTACTGCTAGGCGAACGCAACTATGGCCCCCCGGTTGACCTATGGGGTGCTGGGTGCATCATGGCCGAAATGTGGACGCGGTCGCCCATCATGCAAGGCAACAGCGAGCAACAACAGCTGACGTTGATATCCCAATTATGTGGTTCCATCACACCCAAGGTTTGGCCGGGAGTTGAAAATTTGGAGCTGTACAAAAAGATGGAACTGCCGCAGAACCAGAAACGGAAGGTAAGCTGTTTGATCGATAATACTTTATTTCTTTGTTGAATAGAACAGAAACGTCTATAACAAATGAAAAGGTCATCAGAAACATTTATTTAAAATGTAAGTAGAAATATCGATACGTATTTGCCAAAGTAACCAAAGTCACCAAACACGATTTCGGAGAAAGAACGTGTTTTTAATTTAACCTGGTTAAACTTTTTTAAATTGTGCAAAATTCCCAGGGTGTTTCTCTGAGGTCTATATTTAATTAAGAAAAATGATTTTTGAAGTTTTTCTATAGTTTTAGTGGTTAATTGATACTTACCTTACTTTATGGGTTCAGAAATCTCGAAGTCTTGATCAAAAATGTAACGTAAGTACACAGATATGTCAGTTTGGCGGCAAATTGTAGCACTTAAAGTATTTTGGAAAGATATAAAAACTATCGTTTATTATTAAAAAAAACACAAAATAACGTTACAAAAGAAAATATGAAATTCTTACTAGTAAAAAATATATATTTTTTTAAGTTTTGGAGCTTTCATCTCCATTGTCATCCTCTGCATCAGTTTCTGCTAACTCATCTGGAAGAGAAGACTTATATTTTAATTTAAAGAATTCATCGTGAAACCTGGCAGGCATGTCATGTAATTAACTAACGGCAGAAAATATTCTTGTACATCTCATTCCTGTTTAAATTGAACACCCACTGTCCCATTTGAGCTATCAGTACTTATTGGTACATTTATTTCTTGCATAGTATGGTTACCATCATTTTCATAAGGACTCGAATTGTTAGAAGACAATATTATTGATTGATCTATTTCGATTACGTCTTCATTTACTAAAGTAGTTTTTAAAATATTTTCGGAATTATCTAGATCAAAAATATTGTCACTTGAAATAATGGATATCGGCATAGACCCAACTTCTTCCTAAAAATAAACATTATTCGATTCATCATTTTGGCTAAGAGCCGCCAAAATCCTTTTTGTTCGTGAACTGACCATAGACATAATCTGAAAGTAACCGAGCATTTACGTTTACAATGTTTCATACCTTCTATAAAAATTAGAATAGAAACAAATACAACAGTCTTTCTCTAACTTCAACCGATTCATTCCTGTAAATTTCTCACAGGCTTCGAGGTTATGACAGAATAACTTCTAATAAATAAACGAAATTAAATATGAAATGGGAGTTTTATAGGTAGGTACATAATATTAAGGTTTTAATATTTTTCAATTCTAACTACAAAAAAACGTTTTTTTAACTTCAACCGATTCATTCCTGAAAATTTCTCACAAACCTTGAGGTTATCACACAATCATTTGTAATAAATGAACGAAATTAAATATGAAATGGAATTTTATAGGTATTTACCTACATAATATGAGTTAAGATTGTGATATTTTTGAATTCTAACTATAAAAAAATGTCGTTTACTTACCTAAAATCAATAATTAGTCGATGGTAGCACGAACCTAACACTATCGTAAGCCAAACACTGACTGCGAAAATCTGACGTAAGTCGCAGAAACCGACAGGGACTTAAGGCGCAATTCCACTGAGGCAACAATGAACGACATGTGGCATGCTACTTGTTTCCTAGTGTTGCCTCTTGTTGACGATCGACAGTGTTGCCCAAAATTCTATTAATACCGCATGCGGATTTTGTTCCTCTATGTGTCATGCGCTTTGTTGTACATGAGTATAACATGCATCTTCACGATACAATTTAAGCAACATGCAAATTGTGGCAGGAGGCAAGAAGACATTTTTTTGTCGCTTTGTGTTGCCTCTATGGAAAGACAGTGTGACGCATGCGTCAATGCCGTATGCTACATGTTGCTCAAAAGTTGCCTCAGTGGAATTACGCCTTTACGTTATTATGGCGGTAAAAAATCTTAGCTTGCATTACTATGATGGAAATAGTGTTGAGGTTACGTTTCCTTTACGGATATGATTTAAAAAATTCTGGACATACGTTTTCAAAAAAAGTTAAAAACAAAGGTTTAAAGTAAAATCTAACAATAAAAGCCTTACGTTAATGGAAAAACATGATTTTTACCAAAAATGTCACTTACGTTACTTTGGCAAAAATGCATCGATATAATACTTCGTTTCTATATTTTGAGATCTTGAGCTTTACATTTAAGTTTTTTGATGTGACTTGACCCATCTTATCGAAGCTGGACTTATTAATTATAAAATATTCTCTCTTCCAGGTAAAAGAGCGTTTGACGCCATACCTGAAAGATCCGTACGCTTGCGACTTGCTGGACAAATTGCTCGTTCTGGACCCTTCAAAAAGAGCCGATTCAGACACCGCTCTCAACCACGATTTCTTCTGGACCGACCCCATGCCATGTGATCTCGGAAAAATGTTGGCCAACCATACTCAAAGCATGTTCGAGTTCTTGGCGCCGCCAAGGTATGTATGCCTCCTAAACACTTTTCCGTTAGTAATTTCGCAATTTTTTGATGTCTGCTACTGGCTCATGGATGGCGCTAGTATGTCAGATCCCTTTTTAGACGTCGGAATACCTGCTTGACGTTATTTTCCCTTTTCTTACAGGCGAGTAACTCAAATGCGTCACCATTCGATACCAAGGCCGACAACATCTGCAGTGCAAGATAGCGGGTACCAAGATAGAGTTTTCTAGTTGAAGAGTGTGCATGCAGTGAAAATACTGCGACCTGACTGATAATACATTGATTTTGATGTGCAAAGATCTTTTTTATTTCTTTCATAGAAAGTATTGTCATACAATCGTTAACAATTAATTCGTAAGATATGTATAATATCTATTATGTATATAGATGTCCTTTTGTTAATAAATTTATTTTCTTTATAAGGTAGTATTATTTAGAAATGAAAATCCTTAAAGCAATTAAACAAGAAAGGCGGGATGAAATAGAAAACGCTCGAATAAATAAAGCAACCAGTTTAATGTAGAAGGTATATGTACAATTCCATGCATTAAATTAATTATAGTCAAATGAAACAACAAAGTATAGAAAATCTACTTCCGAAAAAGTGATTACCGAGTGAAACGTACGGGCGCAGGCGGTGATCTAAAAAGTTCTGTTTTGTTTAATCACTAACTGAAAAGTTGTTCTGTGGCCCTCTCCAGATCCCAGTTGTAAGAGGAAAGGGCTGCTCGAGCCTGGTGTTCTTCTATGCCCATGTCCACCAACCGCCGGATCTTGTCATCACAATCGCTATTTACATGTGGACCTGAAAAAAATACATGGCGCTTCAAAGATAGTCACATGGACGACAAAATGTACATATTTTGAGAAAATAAAGGACAACAAACAAGAGCGCCGGATTTGAATCTGCCGCCATTTTTTTGTACAAATGGCATGGTGTTTATTTGATGACAGCTGTCATGTCCGGATCACGCGATTAAACATCATCTGGCAGTACCAAGACCTGTATAATAAATCCAACAACAACAATTTTTTAGCTCTCCTAGGGACCATATTTATCATTCCACTGGGGATATTAATGAGAAGTTTGATTTATTCCTACAGTATATTCAGATAAGAGATAGACCGGATGTAAACAAAAGGTTCGGGTGATTTTCACGCTAACGCCGCCGTCTCGACGTAAAACAGGAGCCCTCATTGGTCAATTCGCAATTAAATGCCTATGCCGACCGACAGAGCAGTCGTATCAAGGCAGAGTCACATTCAGGTTCAGACGTGTTACGTATGTCGTGTGCATCATTGCAATTTGATATTTCTTTGGACGTTTTCGTTTGTTATCTTATTAAGTTGTTGAGTTTGTCGTTGTTATTGTTATACCTTGTTATTGATTGTTATTGTTATTAACTGCTTGCGCAAAATGCCCAATAGTACAGATACTGCCGATGAAGTTGTAAACTCCTGTAGTCCACCTAGGAAACGCTCTAAAAAAAGACACCTGAGTGCAGAAATGAAAGAGGTCATTTTGAATATATATAAGATCAAGCGCGAGGAGAACGACGCATCAACCATCAAAGAAATTGTTGTGAAGGTTTCTCACAAAGTTGGGGTGTGTCGCGCATCAGTGTTTAATGTGTTAAGACAATACAAAAAAAATCACACCTTTTCTGACCCAATGACCAGTAAACATCGCAAAAGTATTGTTAAATCATTGGATGAAGCTGATAAGAATGCGATTAGGAGGAAAGTGCATGAATTCTTCTTTCGGAATGAAATACCTACTATAGATAAAGTACTGCAGGAGGTAAATGGAGATACAACGTTGCCAAATTTCAAACGATCAACTTTCCATGCGTTACTGAAGCATTTAAATTTTAAATGGAAAAAACGGGGTCGTAATAATTTACTACTGGATAGAGAAGAAATTGTGCTATGGAGGAGGGATTATTTAACAAAAATTGGGAAATATAGAAATCAAAACAGGAAGATTTATTACCTTGATGAAACGTGGGTAAACGCAGGACACACTACACGTAAAGTATGGGTTGATGATTCTGTAACTTCATCCAGGAGGGCCTTTCTAGATGGACTGTCCACCGGATTAAAAAATCCAGCAGGTAATTACGAGTAATAGACAACAATCGGATGTTTTTCAAACCTTGGGAACAAGGTTCTAAACATTAATTCCAGGGGGCAGATAAAACATATTACAAGTAACAAAACTTTTATAACTTTCGATAAAATGCGTGGATGTTTTATTGTCATTTTCATTTGTTAGAACTTTTTTAAGCCATGTTTTTATGTGTTTTCGATATTTCAATAATTTTTTAATATAATCTTAAAATATGTCGAATATTATAAACTTAAAAAAAGTTACTAAGTCTTATATTGTGTACCGTTCCTAATATTTCTAATCATTTTAATTCATACTTTAAGCTTTATAAAGTTATAATTTGTTAATATTACTATTTGCGCGTATTTCAGGTTCCTGATCATTCATTTTTTAAAGGTTTATAACTTTAAATTAAATTGTGAAGCGCTGAGTACTCATACGACGTTCAATATTCTGTATTCTCTATTTTTTAATTAATTATTGACATTTTTGAACCCATTTTGGCAAAACCTATTCAAGAATCTACTTTCTGACAATGTTCAACCATGCACATTTTTTTACGTTTTGAACGTTTTAATTTGGTTACATATTTACCTAGAAATCAAAAAATATACTAATCAATATTCTAAAAGCAATTTTAAGAGATATACGATTATTTTTAATTTAGGCTAATTTAAACGCCATTTTGAGATCATATTCGACTGTATTTCACCAAACATCAGGCGGCATCCGAAGCTGGAAATCGAAGCCAAAATTTTGAAACCCTTATGTATATTTACATCATTATATATTTCTTACCCCACCCCCACATGATCCTATATCCATCACCAATCGTATACACATCGAATTGTGCTAATTTACTACAAAGTTACGCAAAGCAGCATCTACTATCTAAAATATGTACTGCGTGACTCTTAATACGTCCCTGCCGAATGTTACAGCGTTCGATGATCACGTGGTCTTGTTTATGTCCGGTCTATCTCTTATCTGAATATACTGTACAAACGTTTCAGTATTACGTTGACATAGCATTCCCAGTTATAACTAAAACAGTAAAAGCAAGAGCCAGAAAACGATGGATTACAAAAGGTATCCTAATATCAAGATATAAGCTTCACTTATCTGTATAATTTGTCTAAGGCGGGAGATGTATTTCTTATAGAGTTATATAAAAAGGTATATGCCAGAGTTTTAAGAGCAGCTAAGCGACTATATTACAACAAAATGATACTAAATGCAAAAAATAAAACAAAAAGTGCTCGGAATGTAATAAACGAAAACAGAAACACACCTAAGCACGAAATCATCAACTTAAACATAGAAAATAAAATAATAACCGAACCAAAAGAGATTGCCGAAAAATTGATGCAGCATTTTAATGATATTTCAGGCTCCTATGAACGTAATGGAACAGGAAATAATGGAAATAATATACAGGGTGACTTCGAAGTTGAGTCATTTATTTTAACAGTGAGTAGATCTGATCAAAAGAAATGTTTTTTTCCTTTACCATTTTTCTGGTAAAATTAAAGTAACAAAGTTATAGCCCTTTGGAAGTTTGAGTACCGCCCTGTCTCAATAATAATATTATGTGCTCGTGTTTGGCAACAACGGATATAATCCGCCTTATCGGTTCATCGCATCGGAAACAAAAAAGCGAAAGAACTTTGAACGATGTTTTTACAATTATTTTATTCAGTTGTATACAGTCAGTGTCAGTCGGTAACGCGTGAGTGAATAGTGGTGTCTGTTGCGTGGCTCAAACGAAATAAAAAATGGCACGTGTTTATGCGGATCGGTTTCCCAATCGAGTGCAACCAACCCCTCGTGCCTTTGTTAATGTAGTACAACGGGCTCGTGAATCAGGTGACTTAAGACCTCACGATCAAATACAGGTCCGCACTGAAATACTTGTCGGGAGGATACTTTATAAAACAAGGTAAATTTTTTTTTTATTTTTACACACATATTTTGGTTTATCTTCCTTCTACAATCATTATCTGAAAATTAATGACTCAACTTCAAAGTCACCCTGTAGATAGAAACAGTCACTCTTTCTATTTTCAACCCGCTGTAAGTTGTGACATAATATCAATAATAAATAGCCTTAAAAACTCCAACTCTACTAGCGCAGATAAAATTAGTGCAAATATTTTAAAAATGTCATCTAGTTTCCTTAGCCAACCTCTAGCATTCCTAATTAATTGTTCCATTGAGGAGGGGACATTTCCAGATAAACTTAAACTTGCAAAAATTAAGCCCTTGTTCAAGTCTGGTGATAACCACGACATCTGTAATTTTAGGCCAATTTCCCTAATTAGTCCCTTTGCGAAAGTATTTGAGAAATATGCTTCCTTACAAATTGTCAATTTTTTTGACAGTTTCAAATTATTCAATAGCATACAGTTTGGATTCAGAAAAGGTTTGTCAACCAAAAACGCTGTGCTTCATTTTCTTGATGAACTGTATTTGAAAATGGACAATGGCGAAAAGAGTGTAGGAATATTTCTTGATTTGACTAAAGCTTTTGACTTAGTTGACCTCGTAATACTTTTGGATAAATTGGATAGATATGAAATCAGAGGTAAGCCATTTGACTGGTTTCACAGTTATCTAAGCAACAGAAAACATTTTGTTGAAGTACTGACTGCACAGTCTGACCAGCACCTATATCATACAGGGGTTCCACACGGTTCCATACTTGGTCCTCTCCTATACATAATACGTAGTCGTGCCATAAGTTCTGTCCCATGATAATCTCATGATAAAAATGAAACAAGATAAGATATATTTATATGAAAGATATTATTTATTCGACAACATTTTTAGAATTCATAATCAAACAGTTTTATTCAAAATGTCCCCCCTTGGCCTTCACACACTGCTTCAATCTCGCGGGCCACTCATCTATCACTGCACGCACAGCTTCCAAAGGAATAGCTGCCGCTGATCGGATCAAATCCGCTTTCAGGGACTCGATATTACGGTGGGCTTTGGAGCAGGCCAACTGCTCTAGCAGGTCCCACAACTTGTAGTCTAAAGGATTGAGGTCCGGACTCCCTGAGGGCCAATCTTCCGCAGCAATGAACTCTGGCACATTGCTTTCCAGCCAGCGCTGCGTACTCTTAGCCTTGTGAGCGGGGGCGGAATCCTGCTGGTAGACCCAGTGTTGGTTGGCAAACAATGTACCACTTAAAGGCTTGACGATAGGATCCAGTATGTCGCTCTGATAGTTTGCCGCTTTTGTTTTCACGCCCTGTTTACAGAAATGGAGCTGAGTGACCCCTTCGTAGGACACCCCCCACCAAACCATGACTGACGCAGGGTGGTGGCCTCTCTCAACTCTCGGAATGATCTCCGAAGCTTCCTGTGAACTCCTTGCATACACTTTGTCATTTTGTCGGTTGAATTTTTCTTCTATGGTGAAGATTTTCTCATCCGTGAACAAAATCTTTCGGAATCCCCCAGCTGCGTACCTCTCCAAGAGCTTCTTGGATCTTGTCGCCCTGATGTGTCGCAAGGTGGCCGTAAGTCGCTGGCCCGTACGTCTCCGGTAAGCCCCTAGCCCTAGGTCTTGTTTAATGATGCGCGACATCGTCCGGACAGGAATCTTCATTTCCCTGGATAGGATCTTCTGCTTCCGGAGTGGATTCCTTTGAATCCTGGCTTTTACGGCTTTGATGGCTGCTGGAGTCCTTACTTGACGAGGTCTTCCGCTTCTTGGCCTGTCATCAACAGAGGACGTCTCATTGTACCGCTGAATGGTCCTAGACACAAATTTACGCGATATTTGAAGGCCGCGTAAGAGTTCAAAAATCTGACTAGCACTGTGATTACACTTATGTAAAGCTATCACTGCAATACGGTTCTCTGCCTTGCCCCACTCCATCGTTATGCTTCGAGAGATCAACACAAACTGAGGTATATGTAATTACCCGAAAAGCGCTTAATCAACTGACACCACAATGTAAACAATCGGACAAGTATTAACAGGTCTACACTTGTTTGAAAACGAGGGACAGAACTTATGGCATGACTACGTATATGTCAATGACTTTCCCGCCAAATCCTCGGTAATGTATGCTGACGATACCTCATTACTTATTAATGGAAAAAACCGAGAGTCAGTGATAAGAAATGCCAACACAAGCTTAGCTAGTGCAGACAAACGACAAAAAGACAGTGTTCCTGAGATTTAACTACTCTAACATGCACATGGATCGTAGTCTCCTTATAAAATCAAGCGGTAGATCCATGGAACAAGCAGAAACTATAAAATTTTTAGGAATACACATATCGCAAAACTGCAAACGGGATACGCATATAGAGAAAGTTAGTCAAAAGATTACCTCTCTTTGCTATTGCATGTACCAGCTGAGTTTTATCGTTGATAAGTGGATATTGTTAATGTTTTACCATGCACATTTCCATTCTACTCTGACTTATGGAATAGAAGCGTGGGGAGCATCCTCCAAGTTACAAAGGCTTCTTATATTACAAAAACAGAGCTATTAGAACTATTGCAAAGGTGGGAAGGCGCTTTAATTGCAGGGAACTATTCACAGATTTGAAGATTTGATGCTGCCTTCAGTATATATATTGAATATATTGATTTACGTCAAAACTCACCTGAACAATTTTAGTTCGATAAATTCTGGAATTTATAATACCAGAAACAGAGAAGTATTGGGGGTGGAGGCACATAGGTTGTCTAGAACGGAGGAGAGTAATAAAACTCTTCAACAAACTACCCATTGATTGTAAATCACTACCGCTGATATTTAAAAAAAGAATCAGGCAAATTTTACTTGATAAAGCTTTCTACTCTATAGAAGAGTTTTTAATGAGTGATAGTCTTTTTTAATTGTTTTAACGTATTGTTCAATTTTAATTTGTTAATTTATTTTAATTCGTTTTCGTGTTTATATACTTCGTGTTTTTATTTAATGTTTTGAATGTTATTTATGTATACTAAGTGACATATAAATCCGAACACCCAGTTTAAATGGTTTTACTTTAATAAAATTTTGTATAAGTACTTAATGAAGCATAATAAGTAAATGATAAAAATTTCAAAATGATTGCACTGCTTTAAAGCCCTTTGACCTTTAATAATGTGTGGATGCACCCTGATGTGCTACGCATTCTCCAACGCGCCTAGGCATGCTTCTAATCAGGTGGTCAATGTCCTCCTGTGGTATCTCATTCCAGGCAACCACCAACTCCTCTCGAAGTGCTTCTAGAGTCTGAGGAGGACGTTGCAAATTGAGCAATCTCCTGCCCATCATATCCCACACGTGCTCAATTGGGGATAAGTCGGGAGATCTTGGTGGCCATGGTAACAATGTGACATCATTATGTTGAAAGAAGTTTATTGTGACTCTTGCAACATGTGGTCGGGCATTATCTTTTGGAAAGTTGGATCTGCCAGGGTGTCAAGATAGGGTAAAAGATGGGGTTCTAGAACTTCGTGGATATAACGCTGCGCATTCATGTTACCTCTGATGAAGATTAAAGGTGACCTGGAATCATAAGCTATAGCACCCCAAACCATAACTCCAACAGTGTGATGAACATGTCTTTCAACAAAAAACTGTGGATTCCTCCTTTCACCACGTCGCCTTCTAACCCTGGCACGACCATCGTGCATGCCTAAACAAAATCGAGACTCGTCACTAAAGACAATACTGTTCCATTCCTGATCCCAGAGTGACCGTTGTCTGCACCACTCAAGGCGATTACTTCGGTGTTCTCGAGTTAAAGGGAGGACCCAGTGTGGCCGGTATGAAAACAAGCCAAAACTTCTCATTCGTCGGTAAACACTTCGCATGCCAATAGGTCTTCCGTGTTCTGCAAACCATTCATTTGCAATGGACCTGGTAGTGGAGAAACAGTCCCTCAAGGCCAATAATCTTAGGCGGCGATCTTCACGGTCTGTTGTTCTACGGCGGCGTCCAGTGCCGCTTGCTCTTTGCGTACGGCCTTCTCGAAGCCATGCCTGACAACACCTAACCAGTGTCTACACTTCTTTGCACTCTAACAGCAATTGCCCGAAAAGAAAGTCCAGCTTCCCGAAGTCCCACTATACGGCCCCTATCAAACTCACTAAGTTGACGAAATCGTACAGGTCTCCGTACTCTAGGCATCGTAACCGATCGTAAAGGATGTCAAGAACCAAAATCCACCAACGTTGATTCGTTACTGCGGCTGAAATATTCATTTTTAGAGCGTGAGTGAATTAAAAAAAAGCAGTATAAAAACCGGAATGTCCAACTGATAAGGCTGAAAAATTTTTCACTTGTTATTTACAGTAAGATAAATACATTCACCAACTTTTATTAAAATAAAACCATTTAAACTGGGTGTTCGGATTTATATGTCACTTGGTATATGTAGGCAATTCTGTTTATACCAATATTCAATTGACTTATCCTATATCACTTTGTGATCCACAGGATGAATAAATTATTATTACTATTCAAACGAGCAGTTCGCAAATTACGTACAATTTTCGTGGCCCCTTACCAGAGCCACTCTGCAACGAATCTTGACAAAAGATCTGTGCTTGCATGCGTACAAGATTCAACTGACGCAAGAACTCAAGCCAACGGACCAGGCGCAGCGCCGTGCATTCGTTGATTGGGCGCTGCAGCACCACCAAATTGATGCGGTTTTCTCTAAGAAAATCATTTTCTCTTATGAGACACATACGTCAATAAGCAGGACTACCGAATTCGGGGTTCTCGAAACCATCGTGTAATAATCGGACAGCCGATGATTGGACCGTATTTCTTCGAAAATACAGCTAGAACTGCGGTGGCTGTTAATGGTGTGCGAGTTATTGTATCCCCAGTTGGATCGAATTGATGAGGAGAATTAAACGGTGCGACCTGCCGCACAGCACGCGAAACGATGGATGTTACTGCGGACCAAGTTTCCAGACCGTGTCATCTCTCGGTGTGGCGATCAAAATTGGCCACCAAGATCGTGCGATCTAACGCCCATGGACTTCTTCCTCTGGGGCTATGTGAAGGAAAAGGTGTATGCAAACAAGCCACAAACAGTTGAATGCCTTGAAGAAGAGACACGGCGCGTTATCGACTAAATAGAGCCACAGTTGTGCGAAAACGTTATCCATAATTGTAAGAAAAGAACGACCCTGTGCGAGAGGTTTCGTGGTGGCCATTTACCGGATGTCCTATTTCATGTTCAATCGCAACTATTGCTCTTTATGTTGAAATACTCGCTTAATTCGAAAAGAAATTGTGTTTTTCTTGAAAATCAAATCCGGCGCTCTTATTAAGACACCCGTTATAAATGAGGTCTGTGAATGAAGTGATGAGACTAGTGTTCGGTGTGCTATCAGGTATGGCTTCTGACTAACGCAAAGAGCAACAAAAACTGTTGCTAAACTTCAGCAGGTCTATGGAGATAGTCTTTTGTCATGAGCCCAGGTTTTTCGATGGTTTAAGGCATTTTCGGGAGGAAAATAGACGATTGAAGATGGGGGTCTATTCATCTTCAACAACTGATAAAAATATCAACAGAATCCGGGATCTTGTGCGTTGAGATCGTCGGTTGACACTTGATTTACAGACCTCATAAAAATAGTATTGACAGTATCAGAGCTGATTTTTTGAAGGGACCCATTAAGTATTATTTTCTTTGAAATACGTTTCTACAATGCTACTACTCCTAAGCAGCTTCCTTAAATAAAATCTCCTTTACAATATACTGTTTCAAATTTTATAGCAACCATTTACCTCCAGCATATACATTTGTCCAATGTCTGGCAGTGATTTGAAACATTTCTAGGTTTTCTCTATACTGTTTAGCAACAACAGCATCTTGTGGATCATCTGGTTCCGCTGCTGATAACAAAGCTTGCAATGACAATAATACAGTTCTTAAAGTCATGGCAGCAGCCCTAACAAAAGAAAAAATAATTATAGCATAAAACACTTGTTGAATCATGTAACAAAACCACTAATATACTAAGTGACATATAAATCCGAACACCCAGTTTAAATGGTTTTATTTTAATAAAAGTTGGTGAATGTATTTATCTTACTGTAAATAACAAGTGAAAAAATTTTCAGCCTTATCAGTTGGACATTCCGGTTTTTATACTGCTTTTTATTAATTCACTAACGCTCTAAAAATGAATATTTCAGCCGCAGTAAAGAATCAACGTTGGCGGATTTTGGTTCTTGACATCCTTTACGATCGGTTACGATGCCTAGAGTACGGAGACCTGTACGATTTCGTCAACTTAGTGAGTTTGATAGGGGCCGTATAGTGGGACTTCGGGAAGCTGGACTTTCTTTTCGGGCAATTGCAGTTAGAGTGCAAAGAAGTGTAGACACTGTGGTTAGGTGTTGTCAGGCATGGCTTCGAGAAGGCCGTACGCAAAGAGCAAGGGGCACTGGACGCCGCCGTAGAACAACAGACCGTGAAGATCGCCGCCTAAGATTATTGGCCTTAAGGGACCGTTTCTCCACTACCAGGTCCATTGCAAATGAATGGTTTGCAGAACACGGAAGACCTATTGGCATGCGAAGTGTTTACCGACGAATGAGAAGTTTTGGCTTGTTTTCATACTGGCCACACTGGGTCCTCCCTTTAACTCGAGAACACCGACGTAATCGCCTTGAGTGGTGCAGACAATGGTCACTCTGGGATCAGGAATGGAACAGTATTGTCTTTAGTGACGAGTCTCGATTTTGTTTAGGCATGCACGATGGTCGTGCCAGAGTTAGAAGGCGACGTGGTGAAAGGAGGAATCCACAGTTTTTTGTTGAAAGACATGTTCATCACACTGTTGGAGTTATGGTTTGGGGTGCTATAGCTTATGGTTCCAGGTCACCTTTAATCTTCATCAGAGGTAAAAGGAACGCGCAGCGTTATATCCACGAAGTTCTAGAACCCCATCTTTTACCCTATCTTGACACCCTGGCAGATCCAACTTTCCAACAAGATAATGCCCGACCACATGTTGCAAGAGTCACAATAGACTTCTTTCAACATAATGATGTCACATTGTTACCATGGCCACCAAGATCTCCCGACTTATCCCCAATTGAGCATGTGTGGGATATGATGGGTAGGAGATTGCTCAATTTGCAACGTCCTCCTCAGACTCTAGAAGCACTTTGAGAGGAGTTGGTGGTTGCCTGGAATGAGATACTACAGGAGGACATTGACCACCTGATCAGAAGCATGCCTAGGCGCGTTGGAGAATGCGTAGCACATCAGGGTGCATCAACACATTATTAAAGGTCAAAGGGCTTTAAAGCAGTGCAATCATTTTGAAATTTTTATCATTTACTTATTATGCTTCATTAAGTACTTATACAAAATTTTATTAAAATAAAACCATTTAAACTGGGTGTTCGGATTTATATGTCATTTAGTATATTTTCAAAAACTTTTTTTTGCCAGAATGATAGAACAAACTTACCATTGGTCTTTTAATATGTCTAAACATATTGCTCCTGTAACCGACGAAATATTTGGATGCCAAATTTTTGTCATAAATCTTACCTAAAAAAATATCATGAGTTACATATTCCAAATATAAACTTACAAAATTACTAAATCTGTTTACTATGAAAAAATCAAAGTAAACATACATATTTTTATCTCCTATATTGAATGATCTTTTGTTTTCTTATAAATACCCCGCACGCTACTTTGCAACATATGTAACCTACAATTTTACATAACTTAAAAATTAAAAAACTGGCATACAAGCTGTCTGACCTAAATCACTATACAGGGAGTTGCAGTAGCATTTATATATAAATTTCACCATTCCAAATTTTGAATTGCTAAATTAACCTGTTTAAAAAATTGGTAGGCAGGACCTTTTTGAAAAGCACTGTATTTTTTACATTTCGTTTTATTACTATCTCTAGGATTTAATTAAGTAAAAATAACAAATTTAAATGAAAGATACTACTACAAAATTTACTTAATAACTGTCTCTATTATTTATATATGTCAGAAATGGTGAACTAACCATTTTCCAGTACAATTTTGCACAATAAGCAGCAATGCATTAGCATGCTAAATTAGCACTAGTAAGAGACATTAAACTCTTGCTCAGTTTATCAGCAGAAAAAAGCTAACAAAAAAGTAAACACCAGTGGTTTTTCTAGTCTCCTTTTTTCATAATCTTCAGAATAAATTCTATCATTTTTATATATATATATATAATCAGTTTTTGATAAAATATTATTTTTGGGATCTATTTTTTTCAACTATAGCTATATTTCCTATTCAGAAATTTATATGCATATTAACTCTATGATACCCTGTAAGTTGTAATCCTATAACATTCTATGTCAGCAAATAATTATTATTATCTTTTGCATTCCTCAATAGCAGGTATACTGGTATGGATATGATTTATATTATATATATTTAATTATATAACAAATATTCCTAAGCAAAAATTTATAAAGTATTATCTAGTATATAATAAAGGGGGAACTCAATACCTTTGGTGGATTAAAGGGGTAGGTCTCAGGTACTTTTATCTCTAATACAAATGTGCCACCCTCATAAGGTGTATCAGGAGGTCCTGCAATTTCACCCTTCAATTCTGTGTAGCTATCATTTACTAGTTCTACTTTTATGGCACATTTGGCCACCTAGAAGTAAATAGAAATTATATTTGGTTGTTTTTAGTACTACGTACATAGAAATACATCATTATGATAACCCCTGCCTTAGCTATTGGAAGATTATTAATATTGCTTTGTTTTGATTATTATTAGACACAGTGCAAAACCCAAACATGACAGACCAACGTAAGTAGAGATTGATATCTTCAAATAATGCAGTGCCTATTTTTTTGCATTGTTTTCTTACCTCTTCGCTTTTAATTACTTCTTTGAATTCGCGTTTTATCCTTTGAGCTGCTATATTTGCCATTTCTTTGAATAATGTCTTCTATATTTACAAGTGGTAAAGAAACTACACTGATTATATGTACAGCATAACCGTTGGAGTGGTACTCGAAATTTACTAGCGCGTTTTATGACCCAGTGTTTTGCTAATTATTGTAACTTTCTCACGTTAATTTTATTTTGGATTTGTCGAAAAATGAAAATGAAGTATGAATAAAAACACAGAACGGTGAAATCGAAAACAAAACGTCACGACAAACTTGACAATTCGCAAATTCGCAGAACTCATCTTTCATCGCTGTCCCGTCAGCGAAAAAAAAATGAGTAGCGAAAAAACACAATTTTGAGCTTATTGATAGGCGTTCCACAAACAAACAGGAAAAAATATGCAAGGTATGATAATCCTATCAAAATAAACGTAGATCCTTGCGAAAATACAAAACACCTCCTTCAAAAAAACGTATTACGATCTAGGGGAATTATTGCGTCAACGTTTATCAGCATGATGCAACTGCTATTCGATCGCTGATTGGTCGATTTTCTTTAGCAATGCCAGGCTTATCATCGGAGCCTCTCCGTGCGAAAAGTTTACTTCGAGCAAATCTCGAAAAGCCGCATTCAGACGTGCACTTGCAGAGCAGAATGCCAAACATCAAAGTTTTCAGCGGGACTTCGCACCCCGACTTGGCGCAAAGGATCGTAGATAGACTGGGAATAGATCTGGGAAAGGTAGTCACTAAGAAATTCAGCAATTTGGAAACATGGTAAGTAACCCGAAATCTCTTCATGCCTTTAGGAAATATATCGTTTGTTGTCATATGCAAGCAACTAGCTAGGCCAGTTTGATTTTTCTCAACGTATTTTTGCGCACTATCGCCCCGTATTGATTTTATTCCAGCGTGGAAATAGGCGAGTCGGTCAGAGGCGAAGATGTGTACATTGTCCAGTCAGGATGCGGAGAGATCAACGACAATCTTATGGAGCTGTTGATCATGATAAATGCGTGCAAAATCGCATCGGCTAGCCGTGTAACAGCCGTCATTCCTTGTTTCCCGTATGCCAGGCAAGACAAAAAAGACAAGGTGAGTTAGAAAGTCAAAAAACAAACACTTGTTCCACTATATAACCTCAAATGTTTTGCATTTGTTTTTACACGTGATTTGGAGTATGGTTTGACAGAAGTATGCGTTGAAAATGTAAACATGCACACCTCCGACACATATTTCATTGCCCAGCAAATATCCTGTATGTTGTATAGGCAAGGAAATTTTATTATAGTGCCTTAACGAACTGAAGATGTTTATATTTCCTAGCTAAACTAGATTCACAGATAAGGGGAACATTTTTGACAGGCATGCTACTCAACTTTGAAAAATAAATGTCCCAGTCAGGTAGGCATCTTGCATTTCTCAACATATTTTTATTTGCATTTTTTATTATCCCTTCTAATAACTGTAGGTACTGTTGCGTCTTGTAGAGCTTCTGATTTCACTTGAAACTTATAGAGGTTAGTTGGATAAATTATTTTACATCATAAAAAGTGTGGATGAAGCACGCTTTTCATCGATTTTTTTCCCAAAACACTATTTTTTAGCAATTATTTCCACCGCCATCTACGATATCACGCTGACGTCTGTGGATATGTCACATATGAGAGACGCTTGCCTGCGGTGTTGCCAGATTGGGCTCCGTATTTAGGGAAAAATATGAAAAGTGAAAAATTTATATACATTTATACTAATGAAACACAAAAACAAAAAACTGAAACAAACAACAGTAGTAAAATTAAAAGTGATTCTTAATAAGTATAAAACAAAAAATAACAAACAGCAGTCAAATATAAAGCAAAGATTATAAAAAACAAAAAATTAAAACAGTAGTAAAGCAAAAAAACAAGTCCATTCAATTATAAAAAACGAAAAATAACAAACAGTCAAATAATTTGGATGGAATGAAATTGTTCTTCGTTTTACTACTGTTCTTACTTTTTGTTTTGTGTTTTAACTTAGAATTGCTTTTTATTCAACATGGAATTGTCTTTTTTGTTTTATTACTTTTTATTTTACTGCTGTTTGTTATTTTTTTGTTTTTTATAATTACATGTAATTAGTTTTTGTTTTACTACTGTTTTTATTTTTTGTTTTTTATAATATTTATAATTCATCATTTTTTTAGCTTACTACTGTTATTTTTTGATTTATACTTATTAGGAATCGTCTGATATTTTGCTACTGTTGTTTGTTTCAGTTTTTCGTTTTTGTGATTCATTAATTAATATACATAATGTATATAAATTTTCAACTTTTCATATTTTTCCCTAAATGCGGAGCCCAATCCGGCAACACCGCAGGCAAGCGCCTCTCATATATGACATATGCACAGACGTCTTCGTCATATGGCAGATAGATGGCGGTGGAAATAATGATGGAAAGAACAGCTAAAAATATAATGTTTTGGGAAAAATTTTTCATGAAAAGCGTGCCTCATCTGCACTTTTTTGTTTCTAAATAATCTATCAGACTACCTTCTAAAAGTTTTAAGAGAATAAACAGTGAAATCGGAAGTTCTACAAGACGCAACAGCACCTAACTGTATTCTCACATCCTTTTTGTTTTATAAATGTATTGCCATGTTCTTACATTGCATAATAATTGTTCTGGCTATGCAGCATTTGACATATTTGGACTTTCCATTTTAAGAATTGAGAGTAATGCTTGTCAAAAATTTTCATTCCATTTATGAATATAGAAAGTAACATTATATAATCTTGATTTAATATATTTAAGAAAACTAGGGATGATTTGATGAAAACTATGAAATTCCCCATGTACATTTAAGAACCAACAATCATTGGGACTGAAGGGTGTTCAAATGTTTTGTATATCAAATAACTATGACTTCTAGGGCAACTTTTTCATGGCTACCTCATATTAAAGATAGTGTGAACTGAATAGTAAACATGAAATATTAAAGAAATGTCAAATAGTGTATATTTCATTGGTAATATATTTTTGCATTGTTCTACATGATTGCTACAGCATTTTCTTTTTATTTTTGCTGACAGATAGGTACCTTGTTGCTATGCTGCAGAATTTTGTGCTAAATACCTATACAGTTTTAGAAACTTTTTACACTGGCTTTCTGACTTCTGAGCTTATAGTAGCATTGCACTGTATTTAGTAACAAAACAGAAGTAGAATGTAGATGCCCCTATACCTGAAAAATTATATAACCCTGATTAGAGTGCCTAGATAACAGTCTTTCAAATAATGTTTATCAATTTATTACTGTGGAATCTTTTCCAACGAATGATTAACTTTTGTGATAGTATCTCCATCAATTTCTAATAAAAGATGTTCTAAAATCAAAATATATGTATTATGTGTTTAAAAATCATGATTTTTCTATGAAGCAGCCAAAAATTATATTTTGGACAGATATGGTATCTAGGCACTGCCTTTATTTCAGTATCTTTAAGAAATTGGTTTCCTTATAGTTTCTATGATTCTGTGCTAATTTTCCAGCTGAACTAAATCTTTCTCTTTCCTACTAAACTTATTTTAGAATCTCACAAGCGATAAAGAACGCCATGTGGAAAAATGGAAGTCAATCGAATGGAAATTCAGGGTAAATTATTTTTAAATTTGCTGAATGTTATGGGGCTTTTGGACTGTTCTCTCCCTTTTGTGGGATGTGTCCTGTTGACCAAATTTATTTTGCTGTTGCATGTATCTTCACAGCTATATCAATTGGCGTAGTAGCTCATTTTTATTACAGTGGCACATATTTGGCAGAATTCTATGCCAGAAACTTTTATGTGTCTGAGGTGCACCTGTAAAAGATACGCATAGATGAGAATGGAAAAGGACACACTAGTCATTGTAGAATATTGTTTGTAACATCTGTTTCTCACTGCCATGCTACTATGCTAGTAGTTCAAGCGTGAACTATATCAGATCTTTCTTAATTTTTTTTATATTCAGTTTTAAATGAGGTCAAGTTTTGTGACTGGTCATAAAAGATTGTACATTTGCCTCTTGTAATACAGATTTGTATTTGGTAGTAAAATTTTGCAACAGCAAAATTGATCATTTCAACTGTTACATACCATAAAATCCATACTTATCTACATGGAAACATCATCTGCTAATACTTTTTTTAAGCTTGTGGTGTTCATTTACTAACACTCTGTAATATTGGCACTGTAATTGTTATAATTATTATCATTGACGTAGATCATCGCGAAAATTAAACGTCCATAACGCTTCCTTAATTTTTTTCGTATGTGTATTGCCTTGCGTCATATATTATACGAAAATACTCGATAAATTGAAGTTAGTAAATATGTTTAGTTGACCCTTTTTAACCTCGCTGAGATAAATCTTCCAGTGTGGTATATTTACTCTTTCTTACACTATATTTCTTGTGAAATTTTTTAGTAATCATCAGCGGAAAAATCCAATGTTAAATATGTTATAGACCATAATCAAATAATTCCTCAGATTCATGGCTTATCACTACAATAAATGTGAATGACTGTCCAGTTTGTCAGCATCGCGTCTGAGCCACATGATGATGACGTAAAAGTTTGTGCGTTTACCATTTGAAACCCGAGGAAGGTATAGTCATGGTTTTACCCGCGAAAATATACAGGGTGCTCAAAAAGCATGGATGGATCAAAATATCCCCCAGTGAAAAATGTTGTAGAACAAAGATTTGAAAAGATTCATTTATTGCCGATCTTTAACGCGACCTGGACTCTGACCTTCAAGGTCAAGACTGTTTTTTGAATAACACCTCTATTTTTGAGTCTGGAAACGAGATGCTAAATTTCCCTTAAAATATGGCTTTGTCCATGACCTTGACCGTGACCTTCATAGGTATTTGGGGAAGTTTAGAAAGTAGGAAAAAGACAAAATATCTCGGAAAATACGTTTGATAAAGAAAAATGTTCTGACCTTGGCTATGACCTTCAAGCAACTTGATTTTAATACCGGAAACAAAAGGAGCAGGAAACGTGTTCACGAACCTTGGCATGGCCATCAAGGTCAGTTGAAGACTGAATGAATTTTGAACCAGAAAAATGTATAGTTTCTGAGATGCAACTTGAGCATAATTTTAAGTTCAAGTATAACATTAGCCAATGAACCTGACATTGACCTTCAAGGTCGTCTTAAGATCAGATAAATGTTCAAGTAACCATCTTACTTTTTTTCGAGGATATCAAAAAGCGAAACATTGAAATGTTCCATTTCTTTTTCCGAAACCAATCTTATTCGCACTAATGCGAAACAAATGATCTATATTTTAACACTACTTCCACGTAAGCGGTACCACGGGTTTAGCCTAGTTAACCCTAACACAAGCAGATAAGCCTATTCAGGGACAACTGAGGCAGCTGCCTCGAGGCTCTTCAACCAGGTCCCAGAGTGGAAAAAGTTTCTGTTTTTATATTTATGATGTTTTAGTTATACTTTTTTACTATGAACATTGTAAATAAGTACAAACAATTGGTTCAGATATTTTTGACTTGTTTACTGTGTCGTATGAGGATTTAATACAATCACAAACAGTTTTTGAGATAATAATATCGTGTTGAGTCTGGAATGTTTTGAAAGAAATAAGTTCCAGTATCAAAATATATTTACTGCAGCATTACTTTCCTACAATGGAATATTTTGATCAGAGGATGAAAATGAGATTGTTTTTATGAATACATTCTAACATGCGTATCCATGTTTTAGGTCCTAGTCAGTTTTCAATTCCTTGCAAAATTTGGACATGAAGGTTCTTTCCTAAAAAAGTATACTGTGAAAATAATTCAATTGTTTTTATGATTTCACGAAGTATGTTACAACTATTTTTTGCAAATATAACGTCTGAAACTTGTTTTTTCCGCTAAAAACAAATGAACTGTCAACTGGAAGACATGAATATAGAATATATTGTCACTGTCGCTTTTTTCATTTTTTGCTTCGAAAAAGTCGCCCGAGGTAGTTTATCATTAGTAAAAACGCATAGAAAACATGGATAAATATTTTTTCAACTAGAAACGTCAATTTGGACATTTTTGTAACGCTAAAACTCTCTATTCAGTCCATTAATTCTCTCGATTTCCATATTGCGCAACAACACATTGTAAGACGACTATTTATAAAAGCAAAATGACGTGGCATTGTCTACAGCCCAGAGTTGCTTATGTTTGGTCAATAAATTCAAATTGCAATTATCTCTTAATCCAGCGTAATGCGGGAGCTAGCATATGCATCGTTGAATAATAGTTTCTTACATAACTAGGTCAAATGGCAAAACATCTCACGACACTATGATTTTTTAGAAACAAGGAACGTTTTTATTGGCAGAAGTCGTGCAAACATAGTTAAAAAGGCGAGTTAAACCTAAAATGAAATGTTTTTTTTTAATCGATATTTTTTCTAGATAGAAAAAAGGCCCAATGGTAAAATGGATTCTTCTATTACACAATGTAATGTTAAATCATAACTTTTGTTATATAATAAGAATAGTTACATCGGTCATTGTTATGTGTTTAATAAAAAAATATATAGAAATATTTCTATCTTAAAGGTTCTGAAAATATGTGAATTTATCTAAGGGCATGGCTAGATTCAACACTTGACATGGAGATTCACTATAAAGGAGAAGAAAATACAATAGGAAAATTACGGTATTACTGTAAATGTGTTCTTTAGGTTTGAGTAATTCTTATGAAGCGTTGATTTGGTTTATCTTTGTTTAACTTTAATTAACAATGATACTATTTACATTGCTACATTGAGATTTTCCAATATTTAATGATGGTATTATGCATCTTAAATTTCAAGCAAAATATTCCATTGAAAACAGATAATATTTAAACAACTGGCAACCACACAATGTGACTGAAATCAAAGATAATCTAAAGCCAGTGTGTTAAAAATGCTTCAACATCAAGGACGTGCGTCTTTGTAGTAATTTTGAATTTATACCATTTAGTTAGAATACTTCCCAATTAAAAGCATGCCTTGATTTTAATATCCTCGTACCAATTATTCACGAAATTATGCTAGCTCCTAGTTTGCGAATTGCAGTATTTGTTAAATAGAGCAAAACCAAACAAAGCTGGTGTGCATGATAGCTGTGATTAAGATTAGGATTAATGTCAACATGCTAATGCACTAATGTGTAATAGTAGGCATATATTAAGACGTACTTCATATTTGTGCTGTCCCTACAATAAAGCGTGTTTGTATGTTTCGTTTTCACGTCAAAATGGCTGAACTGACATGGATGAATTGTAGCATAGACATAGATTAATTAGACCTTGGAAACTGTCATAGACTACGTTTTGTTGCGAAAATAGAATGACAGATACAAATATTTTTTTTTGTATTCGGATCCTTGATATAATGTAAATGCGCACGTATAAAGAAATTTTCTAAATTCCGCTTATAAGGGATGAAGTGGGAGTTGACACTCTTGAAGCTGAGGAACCTAGGATATTAAAATTAAGCCAGCTCAGACTAATAAGTATGTTTTACTATAACTATTTGAAATCTTAAAAAAATACAATAAAGCATTCCAGAAATTATATCTTTAAGATAGGGTAGGTTGTTTATGGACAAGACATGTCAGCTCAGAACGGATTTTGTAAGTTTGTTTTTCTACTAGACCTAGAATTTGGAAAGGAGGAGTTTATGGCTTTCTTCAAACTGAAACTAAGAATGGTAGATGGGCAAAAAAAATTACTGAATGTTACAGTGTTATATACCTGTTTACCTTTTCTAACTAAAGACTAGGCAGGGAGGTATTTCTACAATGTAAGATTTGGTTCAACAGCTAGTGGGCTTATAATAGGGTTAAAATAATATTCTATTGAATTGGATAAATAGAAAAATGGCAAATGTAACAATGAACTCTTAGAATTTAACATCAAATCATTATTTCCATGTAACAGCTTCTTAATTTTAATATTTTTGCAAATGTTTCTTACTAGCCTGTGAACGGATATACTAACAAAAAAGTAGTCTTTTACGGATTTAACTCCATATGGACTAAATATCAGTCGGCATAAAGCATCCAGGGTGTCCAAATCAAAGCCACTAGTAGCCACCACAAGTTTGATATCATATTTTCCATCCATTTTGTATGGTGTCTGCACAAACTTAGCGAACAAGTCGCTTCTTCCAAGCCACAGACTGTGCTCACATTTGCCAACTCCTATCTAGTAATAGGTAGCAATTGACTAACGTATTCTTCCTAAAGATACGCACTTAAAATAGGCATTAGAGAGGTAAAAAGGCTGAAAATGGTAGCGCCATTTATGAATCAATACCAGAACCAAACGGTATCTTCTGCTACCGTTTCATAGATGGAGCTAGTGTATTCTTGGACCCCTGAATATATAGTATTCTAAGTGACATATAAATCCGAACACCCAGTTTGAATGGTTTTATTTTAATAAAATTTTGTATAAGTACTTAATGAAGCATAATAAGTAAATGATAGAAATTTCAAAATGATTGCACTGCTTTGACCTTTAATAATGTGTGGATGCACCCTGATGTGCTACGCATTCTCCAACGCGCCTAGGCATGCTTCTGATCAGGTGGTCAATGTCCTCCTGTGGTATCTCATTCCAGGCAACCACCAACTCCTCTCGAAGTGCTTCTAGAGTCTGAGGAGGACGTTGCAAATTGAGCAATCTCCTACCCATCATATCCCACACGTGCTCGATTGGGGATAAGTCGGGAGATCTTGGTGGCCATGGTAACAATGTGACATCATTATGTTGAAAGAAGTCTATTGTGACTCTTGCAACATGTGGTCGGGCATTACCTTGTTGGAAAGTTGGATCTGCCAGGGTTTCAAGATAGGGTAAAAGATGGGGTTCTAGAACTTCGTGGATATAACGCTGCGCGTTCATGTTACCTCTGATGATGATTAAAGGTGACCTGGAACCATCAGCTATAGCACCCCAAACCATAACTCCAACAGTGTGATGAACATGTCTTTCAACAAAAAACTGTGGATTCCTCCTTTCACCACGTCGCCTTCTAACCCTGGCACGACCATCGTGCATGCCTAAACAAAATCGAGACTCGTCTCTAAAGACGATACTGTTCCATTCCTGATCCCAGAGTGACCGTTGTCTGCACCACTCAAGGCGATTACGTCGGTGTTCTCGAGTTAAAGGGAGGACCCAGTGTGGCCGGTATGAAAACAAGCCAAAACTTCTCATTCGTCGGTAAACACTTCGCATGCCAATAGGTCTTCCGTGTTCTGCAAACCATTCATTTGCAATGACCTGGTAGTGGAGAAACGGTCCCTTAAGGCCAATAATATTAGGCGGCGATCTTCACGGTCTATTGTTCTACGGCGGCGTCCAGTGCCCCTTGCTCTTTGCGTACGGCCTTCTCGAAGCCATGCCTGACAACACTTATCCACAGTGTCTACACTTCTTTGCACTCTAACTGCAATTGCCCGAAAAGAAAGTCCAGCTTCCCGAAGTCCCACTTGTCACTTGTTATTTACAGTAAGATAAATACATTCACCAACTTTTATTAAAATAAAACCATTTAAAAAAAAAATTTCTCACTTGCACGAACATTTTTTCTTCCATCAGAGCCGTGCTCCGATCTCAGCCAAACTGGTGGCCAACATGCTATCAGTGGCAGGTGCCGATCACATTATCACGATGGATCTGCATGCCTCCCAGATCCAGGGTTTCTTCGACATTCCCGTGGACAATTTGTACGCCGAGCCAGCCGTATTGAAGTGGATCAAGGAAAACATCGTCGAATGGAGGAACTGCGTCGTCGTATCGCCAGATGCTGGCGGCGCGAAGAGGGTCACTTCAATTGCTGACAGGTTGAATGTCGAGTTCGCGTTGATCCATAAGGAGAGGAAGAAGGCTAACGAGGTGAGGCTTTTGTCAGACTTTAAAGTGAAACAATGTTTACTGAAAAATTGACACCCGATTTTTACCAAAGAAATCTGATCCTTATTTCAAGGGACATCCGGTATTTTGAAATGTTGTTTTTTCACTTTATTGGTGTAGAAATTATTTGGCTCAGTCCAGGAAAATTTTTCTGTTTTGTAGCTACAAGTTTATGAGGATTTCGTGAATTCAATCCCAAATAAGTATCTGTACGAGGACGGTCGGTAAGTATTCAGCCTACAAAAGAAAACCAAAAATTTTGGAGAAGTGGCGATTTATGTCTCACCATAGCTCGATACACTTGATCCAACCCGTCTGAAAAATACCTTTTTCTGGAGGTCTGCAAAGTCGTCATTCGACGGTGAGTGACTTTTCAAGAGATCGTGGATTTTTGTGACATTATCCTCCGTGGTAGCCGTTTTCGGGGCACCCTTAAAAATCTCAAAGGCTGCACCGATTAACCATCTCAACTTCCTAAACTACGAGGTGCACTCCAATCTGAGAAAGAACGGGGGAGTTGTGGCTTTTGTCCGCAGCAGTCTTTCCTGCTCCAGGGATCTTTCTTTGGAATCAGACCGGAAGGACATTCTGTGGCTTCGTCTCAACTCCAAAACATCACCCAAATTTATTTGCAGCCTTTATCGCTCTCCCTCGAACCATAACTGGGATGACCTACTCGAATACCTCGCCGTCCAGATCGACTTCCTGAACATCAATCACCCCGCTTCAGAGGTAGTTCTTCTCGGTGATTTCAATGCCCATAATGAGCTTTGGTTGGGCTCAAATAAGACCGATGCAGCAGGTCGTGCAGTCGAAGCGTTCGCTCTTACTCAAGGGCTGACCCAGCTGGTGACGAGCCCTACTTTTTTCCCCCGCGTCTCGTCACACGCCAGTAGCCTGCTGGATCTCTTTCTGACCACGCATCCTGCCCCTTACAGCACTGCCGTCCTGTCCCCCCTGGGTAACTCAGATCACGGTGTTGTGGAGGTTAGGTTTCGGTCAGAAGCCGCTGTGGCCGCAAAAACTCGCACAGGCCGCAAAACTTGGCATTACGGACATGCCGGCTGGGAGGGGCTCAGAGACTTCTTCTCTAGCTTTCCTTGGAGAGATGTCTGTTTCACTGACGCGGATGCGTCGACGGTCTGTTCTTCAATAACCGAAATTATCCACGTCGGAATGGAGGAATACATCCCTCACACAGTGAAAGTTCCTAAACCAGGGTCCAACGGCTGGTTCAACAAATCGTGTGACACTGCTCGCCAGCAGAAGATCAAGGCCCACAGAACCTACTTACAAAACCCCACTGTAGAGAACAGACAAGCCGACGTCGAGTCCAGACACAAATATAACGAAGCGGTTCGCAATGCCAAAACCCAGCATGATATAAAAGTTAGGCACAGGGTAATGTCGCAGCGCAATGGCAGTCGGTCTTTCTGGACGCTGGCCAAGCAGATTGAAAAGAACTTCTCACACAGTAGCCTTCCACCACTTACGTGTCAGGATGGAACTATTGTATTCGACTCAAAGGCCAAGGCGGAAGTGCTAGCCAAGATCTTTGCTGCCAACTCCACCATGGACGTCCCCACCAACGCCCAAGTGCCGTCAATTCAAAGGGTTCCCCACACTATGCGGGAGGCACCATTCAGGCATAAGACCGTAAGACGAGTGCTCTTGTCGCTCGACATCAACAAAGCTTCTGGTCCGGACTTGATTCCTGCCATTGTACTGAAGAGATGTGCAGCTGAGCTTGCTCCAGTTCTTCCGCGTCTCTTCCAGATATCTTATGAATCCGGCACCTTCCCAGAAAACTGGAAATTTGCTCATGTACAGCCCATCCAAAAAAAGGATCTAAAACCGACCCTTACAACTACAGGCCTATAGCTCTGCTTTCTGTTATAAGTAAAGTGATGGAGAGGTGCATAAATCGCGAGCTTCTGGACTACCTCGAACGTCACAGCTTGATTCGCGACAGGCAGTACGGTTTCCGGCACCAACGATCCACAGGGGACCTCCTAGCTTACGTCACGCAACTGTGGAGTAAACTCATCCAGTCTCATGGTGAGGCTCATGTCGTTGCTCTTATCATCACGAAAGCGTTCGATCAGCTGTGGCACGCTGCCCTCTTGAGCAAACTTCCATCCTACGGCCTCCCAGAAAAGCTTTGCAGATGGGTGTCTGACTTTATCTCTGGCCGCAAGATATCCGTCGTAATTGACGGATTCTCCTCTTCATCCCACAACGTCAATGCGGGTGTTCCCCAGGGATCGGTCTTGGCTCCAACACTGTTTCTCTTACATATCAACGACCTCCTTTCCTGCACGATCAACCCAATCCACAGCTTCGCTGATGACAGCACTCTACATGCAGGAATTCAGAGTGACAAGCCGATCTCTGCCGCTGAGCTGGAAAAAAGAAGACTAGCGACGACTTCTTCTCTGACAAGAGACCTGGAGGCTATTACTGCTTGGGGACGCAACAATCTTGTACAGTTCAATGCTTCCAAAACACAGTACTGTACTTTGACGAACAAAAAGCGTCCTAGCGCTCATACAGTTTCGATGGACGGTCGAGTCCTACCAAAGAGCCATTCATTTCGGCTGGTCGGAGTCCAGATCACCGAGGACCTGATCTGGCACGAACACATCTCTTCAATAGCTGCAGCTGCTGGGAAAAAGCTAGGCTATTTGTTTAGGGCTAAGAAGTACTTTTCCCCGCATGACCTTCTCACTCTATACAAGGCCCAGATAAGGCCTAGCCTCGAGTATTGCTCACACATTTGGGGTGCTGCCGCCCCGACTACATTGTCCATGCTCGATGCTGTCCAGAGGAGGGCGGTCCGACTGATCGATGACACTTCTCTAACAGACAGTCTCGGGACTCTTTCGCACCGGCGGGTCGTCGGCGATCTAGCTCTTTTCTATCGCTACACCAACCGGCTTTGCTCCTCAGAGCTCTCTTCCATGATGCCGCCGCGCGATGTGCCTGCCAGACAGACCCGCCTGACTTCGGCGTCCCATCCTAACCGTGTCAAACTTCGTACATCCAGAACTGGCCGATACGACCGCTCCTTTGTCCCGCGGGTGTCTAGATTGTGGAACAATCTACGGGAGGAAGCTTTTCCCAGTTCTACTAACCTTAGGCAGTTCAAAAATCGTATTAACAAAATGTCTTTGGGATCATAGCAGCCGCGGTGTTCCGGCATTTAGGCTTCTGCCTGCGCGGCTGTTTCGATATGTAAAAAAAAACCTGTGCGTGGCACATCAAAACCGACGTGCGACCACTTTGAAACTCGTTAAATCAATTTTTAACAGTCGCCATCGAAGGAGAAGAGTCACCGTAAACAGCATCCAAGCGCGCTTTAATTTCGCAGCGTGATTTCAAAAACAAAAATCGAATCACCGACCGATATTCCTCTTTTGCCATTTTTCTAAATTCTGCGGACACACGCGGTCCTAAGAAGACTACGAATCCGAGTCGGCTGAAATTTTGACAGTACACACGACAGTGTGCCACAGGGACGTCAGGCTAAGTAGTTATCGGACCGTCCTCGTATGTATCAGGTAACCAAATAAGTTCGTGCGGTTGGTATATATCGCACATTGCCATGGATGTTGTTGATCGATAGCGATTGTTTGTTACCTGTTGTCACTTTAGTATGAATCCTTCTTTTCTCATACACATAAAAAGTTGCTGAAAATTGTTACATACCTAGTTTTTATAATTGAAAATGGTGACGAATAAAACAGTAATTCGAAGTTGTTTACTGTACGAGTACAAACTTGGTACAAAAATCATAAACAACGAGGATCTTCGACAGGTTGTGGACGCAAATTTCAGGACACAAAAGTGACCCGAGAAAAAATTTCTGAACTCGGTTGGGAAACGTTACCGTACTCGCCATATTCACCCGACATTTCGCCCAGTGATTATCACCTTTTTTTGTCTCTTGACAACTGTACGAGGCACCGACAGTTCACAACTCGAGATGGTGTAATAAATGCAGTCCGCCAATTTTTCGACTACAAATCCAGGTAGTTATAATGGGTGATTTTTTTGCTAGTATCTTTTTGGCAACACTGTTTTTGACAGATGACGCCTGAATCGTGACTTGTGTCATTGTCAAACTTGCTCAGTTTGGTCTATAATTTAACCATGAATCGACTTACGAACGAACAACGCTTGCAATTTATTGAATTTTACTATCAAAATTCATGCTCGGTTAAGAGAGTGCATCGAGCACTGCTTTCAATTTATGGGCAATTTGGTCGGCCTACTGAGGGAGCTATTCAGAAGCTTGTAACTAAATTTCGAACCCAGTTTACATTATTGGACATTAAACCACCAACACGCAGACGTAGAGTGAGGACTGAAGAAAATATTGCGGGTGTATCCGCCAGTGTTAGTGATGACCGTGAAATGTCGATTCGCGGCAGTTCGCAGCAATTGGGCCTCTGTTACTCCACTACGTGGAAAATTTTGCGACAGCATTTGGCTGTAAAACCAGCTGGTGCAAGAATTGAAGCCACACCACCTCCCACAACGTTTCCCATTTGGTGAATGAGTGCTGGCAAAGTTGGAGGAAGATCCACATTTTTATCGAAAAATTGTGTTCAGCGACGAATCTCATTTCTGGTTGATTGGGTACGTTAACAAGCAAAATTGCCGCATCTGGAGTGAAGACCAGCCAGAAGCATTGCAAGAGCTACCAATGCATCCCGAAAAAATCACTGTTTGGTGTGGATTTTGGGCCGGTGGCATCATCGGGCCGTACTTCTTCAAAGACGACAATGGCCGGAACGTAACTGTGAATGGCGAGCGCTACCGTGCGATGATAACAAACTTTTTTTTGCCCAAAATGGAAGAGCTGGACTTGGCTGACATGTGGTTTCAACAAGACGGTGCCACATGCCACACCGCACACGAAACAATGGCCCTATTGAGAGGCGAGTTCGGTGAACAGTTCATCTCACGTTGGGGCCCGTCAATTGGCCGCTTAGATCGTGTGATTTAACGCCATTGGACTATTTCTTGTGGGGCCATGTTAAGGATAATGTCTACAGGGATAAACCAGCAACGATTGACGCACTGGAAGCCAATATTGAAGCATTTATTCGTGAGATACCGGCCGATATGTTGGAGAGAGTGTGCCAAAATTGGACCTTGCGCATGGGCCATCTAAAGCGGAGCCGCGGCCAACATTTACATGAAATAATCTTTAAACATTAAATTATATCGACCGTTCTATCGACTCAAATAAAGATTTAATCGTTTTTTCAAATTGTTTGTGTTTTTTTTTGAAAATCAAATCGTATACCTCTTAAAAAATCACCCGTTACAATACCGGCATACAAAAATTGGTTCCACGTTGGCAAAAGGTGGAATGTGATGGTAATTACATCGACGAATAAATAGTGTGTTATTGTTTCTCAATAAAAATTTATATTCTTCTACTAAAAACCGCACGAACTTGTTTGGTTACCTGATAACTTTTCTCTTTATAGTTCATTATATTTTCTGTACTGTCACTGCTTTTCGATGTATCAGTCATCAGCACTTTCAAAAATTCTCCTTTACACTGACTGTAATAAATGTTACATAGGACAAACAGCCCAATATACCAAGAAAAGATTGGCTGAACACAAAAGGAGTGAAGATAGAAAAGACATTTACTGTACTGCAACAACTTTGGTGGAGTATGTTAGGAAAGACAGGCATCATATCAAATAGGCCGGTACTAACGTCAAGCACCGATTCAAATTCTCCGGTACTAAGATTTTGAAAATACAGCAGACGCTCGATAATGTAAACTAATTTAATCCAAGTGTGGTTCACATTATCGAAATGTTTACATTAGCGAACGTGATTTATATAATATTTGATTTATTAAAAGAAACATTTAATACCATACTATTTATAACAAAATAAACAAATTTTCTAACAGCGATAAGTATTTTTTTAATTAGAAGAAAAATAATTAACAATTTTTGTCTGCGTAAATTTGCGCTTAGCATTGTCTTCCAATGCCTGCGTCCGTAATTTACGAAGAACTAAAATATCCGTGTATGAAACTTCTTTTCTTTCAGCCCAATCTAAAGCTTGGTCAAAAACTTGTATAGCTTGCGCGTCAGTCACTACACTTCTGACTTCAATGGTATCGTTCTCATCATCCTCACTGTCCATATCCTCCTCCTTATCAGCATCATTCATCTGCTTATCTTCGTTCCATAAATTAATATCAGCAGGAATACAAACAATGTTGGGATTCACTGTTTTCAATAAATCAACAACATCCAATGACACACTAATAACATTATCATTATTGGATCGCAAACGTTCTCTAATTATGTTTAAGGGGACATCGTCTTCTTCATCATCTTCATTATTGGTACAAAAGAGATTGTTCCAACATTTTTGAATAGTTTGCTGGTTAAGTTCATTCCAGGCCATATGTAAATCTAAAACAGCTTCTCGTAATGTTACTTTTTTTAAAGCCTCAGATAAGTTTTCAGGATTCTTTGATAAGACAGACGAAAGTAGAAACTTCCTATAGTATAGTTTGGTGAGTCTTATTATATTCTGGTCCATTGGTTGAATTAACGGTGTTACCTTGGGAGGCATGTACATGACATGACGAAAATTGACCCATCCCTGCTCCTCAGTTGTTGCTCGGGAGGATGACTTGGTGCATTATCCAATAGTAACAACGCTTTTATTGGAAGCTTCTGTTGTTTTAGGAAACCTTTTACCTACAAATTGAAAACACATCTTCAAATTATGAATAGAGCATTTGTGATAATTGATTGTCATACCTGAGGGACAAAGCACATGTGGAACCATTTCAGGAATATACCGCTAGTCATCCAAGCGGTTTTTGAACAGTCATAATCAACAGGGATATTAACATTTTCAAGTGAGCGCGGATTTTTTGCTTTCCCAATTACCAGTGGCTTTATTTTGTGTGAACCATTAGCATTAGTGCAGGCTAGAAACGTTATTCGATGTTTCTCCGGCTTTCTTCCCGGGGCAGATTTCTCAAATGATGCAGCATAGGTTTTCTCTGGTAACATTTTCCAATAAAGGCCACTCATCTGCGTTGTAAATTTGTTCCATTCTTAAATCTAGCTCGGTAATTGTTTTCATCAATTTTTCTATGAATGGTTGCACTAATTGTGGTTGTGCTGATAATTTTTCACCAGATATAGACAGCAGTCGAGTTCCATATCTTGTTTTGAATCGTAGCCAGCCATCACTAGCTACGAAATTTTCAGTTTTTCATTTAACAGTCTAGCTCTCTGTTTAAGTACTTCGCCACTAACCGGGACATGATTTTCCCGTTGTTTTAAAAACCACTTATACAGGGAATTTTCCATTTTAGGTGCCTTCGCATTTTTTAAAGTTTTTCTTTTTCCCGAACCTCCAAATGTATTGCACGTTCTTTGTAAAATTTCAGTTTTCATACGCTTAATTTTACAGATTGTTGCTTTCGATACTCCATATTTTTTTGCTAACTGTGTCACTCCCGCAACTAGTGCAACTTCATCTATGATTTTCACTTTCTCACTCAACTTTAAACACTTTCTTTTATAGGATGTGGATGCCATAGACGTAAAATATATTAACGCGTGCAATGTATTCACTTAAGTTCAAAAATGAAATACATACGTACGTATAAACGTATCCTAAACGATCATACGACTGACCGAGTTTGTCGTATTTTATCGCAGAGGTGAATCCCCTACACTCTACATCATAAATCGGGGACTCCCCGACGCCCGACATAAATCATCGAGGCTTCAGCATTTTACCGTCGCGCTGTTTCCGTGCGCCGAGAGTTGTTTACGTTATCGAGCGTACACATTGTTTACGTTATCGCGCGTTCCGTTTGATCCTATAGAACGAAGTTTGTGTTTACATTAGCGCAAGTTTTCATTATCCCGTGTTTACGTTATCGAGCGTCTGCTGTATATCATTCAAAGATTGATTAGTGATTTAGTACAAACAAGTGTTGCAACAAGCTTTAAAAATTTGCTTTTTTTCGTGGGGGTGATGAATGCGATAGTCAAGAAAGGCCTAAGTCCGACTCCGAAACGTTTTGGTTCCAGGTAGCTTCGATGGTGTTGGTAGGCGACGTAAAAGACAAAGTGGCCATCCTAGTCGACGACATGGCCGATACGTGCGGTACTATCTGCCACGCGGCCGAGAAACTGACCGAAGCCGGTGCCACCAAGGTGTACGCCATCTTGACGCACGGCATCTTCTCAGGACCGGCGATATCCAGAATCAACAACGCTTGTTTCGAAGCGGTTGTCGTCACTAATACCATTCCACAAGACGGACACATGAAAGATAGTTCAAAGGTCCAGGTGAGTGACATTTTTGGCGGGGTCCGGTGACATCATAAAACATCCAAACATTCCCCAGGAGTTTCAGTTTGTTTATTTGCTTGTTTGTTGTTGATTTATTTAGCGTTAATGCTACAATATCAATGTTACGCAGTAAATCACATGATATATATGTATTGTCTTCAAGACTACATATTTTTATAAAAAATGTCACTACTATGAATTCTGGTTTTACATGCAATATTTTTTTAATTTCCCTTTAAACATTTTCAAACTGGAACACATTTTGGTATTATTGTTCAATTCAATAAAATTTTCTAAGTGATTTGGTAGATGATTTTTTAACTTGAATATGAAAATGAAAATAAGTAGGTAAAATTGACTTTAGTATATTTATTTTTATTTAAGATGATTCTCATAGCTTTATTTTGTAATTTTGAAACAAAGTTTCGTTTGAAGTGAACAAAATTTATTATATTTAAAGATTTTCCTAATTACATTACATACATACATTTTGTTTTGTTTGTGTTTAATTTGAGTTGGAGAAGGTGAAAGGGGGTGAAGTGGTTCATTGCTAAAAAGTTGTCCCCCTTGACAAATCTTTTGACGTGTCTCGACGTTCTTTTGTAAATAACTCACAATTTTGCAGGAGTATTTGTAGAACATTTTAATTTCGAAGGAAATACGCCATACACTAAATAGTGATTCACTAACAATAATACCGTCTCTGTAATAATGTTGAAACATTCTTTTACAGCCATTTTTAAAAGAATGGTTGACTATCTTCATGTATAATACGTTCATTGCCAATCTGATTTACATTTTTTCCTTGTTTCAGTGTATCGACGTATCGATGATGTTTGCAGAGGCAGTCAGGAGGACGCATAACGGAGAATCAGTATCATATTTATTCTCTAATGTTCCCTATTAGTTTTAGCGATTTTAAACTATCTCTATATTGCCACTGTCTGGCAAGCAACTGTATAGCAATTATTGTTTTTCTATTAAATTTATATAAGGCCAATTACGAAGTTTTGTTTGTAATTTACGACACAGCCAAGAGTTGATATTTTTTTATAAATTTTTTATTGTACTCGACGTGTAAGTCTGCTGAATAAAATTTAAAATCGTAGCTCAAAATGGTAAAGTGTTTGAATCTGACAGTGTGCAGTAAATCGGCAATAACGGGGCTTTGACCAGTGGCGTATCCGAAAGTTGGGGGGGCCCACTGCAAAAGTGACAGTCGGGGACTGCTTGCTGAAATTAACTTCGGAAGTTCATTAGGCAAACAGCTCGAATTATAGCAGTCGAATCCTCGGACGGATTTAAAAATATAGTTCGTAACTACGCAAACAGATCGAGTGAAAGTAGTCGGATGGAGTTAGGAAAATAGTCCAGTCAAATTAACATCGTAAGCAGTGGCGTAGCTACCTTGGGAGGCACCCGGTGCGGAAGTTGGTGGTGTCACCCTATCGAAAGTCAAAAGCATTTTATATGATTTATAAACGGCATGGATCAATCAATATTTCTATTTAAAATATTGAACAAATAAGAAAACACAATAAAAAATAATACAGAAAAAATATTTTTTATCTTAAAATCTCTTCTTTCTAGCTTTGACAACTGCAAAATCAGAAATAACTTCATCAAAATTTATATTTTGTAGTGCCTCGTGTTCGATGGCGAATACGAGTATGGTCTCAGACGTACCCGACCCAACGAAGAAAACACAATTTTTTTTAAAAAATGTACATAATCTCCTTTGAGCTCTATACATTTTTCCCAGTGATGTTCAATAAGTTCGATACCCTTTTTATAATAAGAACTGTCTTGCTCCTCAAAATAGCCATTAACTGCCGACATCACTTCTTTATCGTTGGAACATCTTCGACCACCGAGCTATTTTTTCAAGTTTGGAAACAGAAAATAATCCGAGGAGGCTAAATCTGGTGAATAGGGTGCATGAGGTAGGAATTCAAACTTTAATTCGTTAATTTGGGCCATTGCAATAACGGATTTGTGAGCTGGTGCATTGTCTTGATGAAGCAACACTTTCTTCTTAACCAAATGCGGCCGTCTTTGCTTGATTTCATCGCTCAAACGTTGCAATAAGTTCCCATAATGCTCGCCGTTGATAGTTTTACCTTTTTCAAGATAGTCAATGAAAATTATGCCGCGCGCATCCCAAAAAACCGACGCCATAACCTTGCCTGCAGATGAAACGGTCTTCGCCTTCTTTCTAGCCGGTTGTCCCTTTCGAGTCCATTCCTTTGATTGTTCTTTTGTCTCAGGTGTGAAGGGATGGACCCATGTTTCATCCATAGTTATGAAACGACGCATAAAGTCTGCTTTGTTGCTGTGAAACTTCGCTAAACACTCAATTCACGACACTGCTTTGGCTCGATTGTGAGCAATCGCGGCACCCATCTTGCACACAGCATTCTCGTGTCCAAATTTTCAGATAATATGCGATGAACCGCACTTTTTGAAATGCCTACTATGTCTGCTAGCTCGCGCACTTTCAGTCGACGATCATTCAGTACCGCTTTGTGAATTTTCTTCAACATTTCTGGAGTCTTCACCTCGTTTGGTCGACCACTACGATGCCCGTCTTGGCAGCTCATAAAGCCTCGTTTAAACTCTGCTACTCAATATTTTACTGTTGTAAACGAAGGAGGAGACTCACCCAGAGTAGAATCCAGTTCAGCTTTTATATTGGTTGGGCTGAGGCCTTGTGAAATAAAAGTATTGTACCATATAACGATGACCAATTTTCTCGAGTTTCACAAATTTACTGAAAACGTTCAGTATTGATGGCTGCCTAACAAATACTAAAAACGTGGTGACTTCAAACTTTATAGGTTGCATACTTTCTAATACAATGATATTTTTGAAACAACTATCGCCATCTCTAGGTCAGACCGGGTACTTCTGGGACCACCCTCGTATACTCAGATTGCTTAGCCGCGATTGGGTCATTGTTGCCGACCCCCGTTGCTACGTGATCGTGAGTGCATTAGCCCAACAGGATCCAGGATACAAGGTCTATGGTGCTGTCTCATTTCGATATGGTATAACTTGTGCTGAACATAATCATTTATGCACTGATGACGGCTTTGAGTGGGAAGTGAAGAGTCAACCTACTTGACGCCATTTTTCTTATTTCGTAGATAGCATGATAAGCGCATATCCGTCGTTACGAGGACGTGTACAAAACCTGTCGTAACGACGATGGAAAAATGATCCGACGGGAATTTTTCTATTGACCAAACTGTCCACACCCGATTTCCGGCACGGGTATCACGTATCTTGAAAAGGGACATTATGCCGATTTATTTTGACATTATGCTGTTTTTCTTTACATTATGTAGGTTTTTTTACAAGATATTAACTTAGCACTTAGATGTAGGTGTTGCCTAAACGTCATAAGGCTTGTTATCAATCTTTGGCTCTGATGTTATGTAAAATCTGCTTATGAGATGGCATTACTGGAGGTCTAAGCTGTAAGTTGTGTGTTGATGATAATTACATTGGGTTCCTGTCTCAAATACACTTAACTGAGATTCAAAGCTAGAAATTAGTTGCGTATCCACTTTTTCTTATCCATTCTAGAAATTACATATACAAATTTCCTGAATTTCAAAAATGAGAGAGATAAGAAATATTTATATTCACTCTACACTGTCAAATTACATTGGCAGCATATTCAGTAATGATTTTCTCACACAACAAATATCACTGATTTTATATACATGCAGACCAATACACATAATCATCCTGCTATTCAACCAACTTTCTTCTCAGAGATAAAAACTACAGGCAAGGACCATTTGGCCTCACAAAACATATGCAACCAATAATGCGTTTAGTTTAGTTGAGTGATTCCTCCTTAGATGGGGACGTTGAAAACGATCCTAGTGTGCAAACGTGGAATGAATGTTTGACGTTTTATAGGTTTTTTACATGGTAACCATGATGATTATTTCAATTCGTTTATTCATGCTAATACAGGGTGGACCAGAAAGACATTGCTTGTGACAACTGAGCGAAATATAGATATACCTGCACTATTAAAATTGCAACGTTTTCATTCCGTCCTAAGACTGCGCAGACAAAAGGTTGACCCTTATAGACTTTTTGGGCAAAACCTACCAATCAGCTTCGCCCGAGATAGGAGACTAAAAACAGTTGTTCTCGGGTTTCTAAGAGTCCTATTACAATTCGACAGAATGTTTGATAAGTCCCCGCTCTTCGAATTTCAAATGCGAGCAACAGAGCCATGGATCATTTTCATAGATACCAACGATTTTAGAAAAAAGTTTCAGAACTATTTATTTTACAGATTATTCTCTTTCAAAACAAGTACCCATTTCTGCGAGGCTCTGGCCTGTACACTCGTTGGGAGACGAATAAAATACAGCAGAATGCAGATTCAAATTAAAAAATGACCATAACAAAAGTTTAGCATTTATTCAATCTAAAAAAATGTAGAGAAAATATAATCAGCAATTTCATAAACTAATTTACTTAATAAATATTTACACGATATTCTAAGAGTACTTGAAAAATGTGTTATTAAGAAAAATGCATAATTTTCAAGGTGGCAAATATTTTGGAGATTTGTACTAAAATTTTCGTATCAACACTCCGATTAGAATAAGATAACGCTGAATAATTTCTTTTATATTTGAATATTTAGTTTAGCACAGCAACCCAAAATTATTAGCATTGCTGTATTGTACTTAACAATTGATGAGATATTAAGGAATCACAAAGACATTTAGGATCACTATTATGAAGTTTAAAAGTTATACAGAAAATAGTCACGTCAAAATGTATAAGACTTAAAGAGGAACACATGTAGATATGTGATGCATCAACTAACTAAAACTAAACATGCTTTGAGGTAGAACATTCAGTGTTTAAAAATTCCTGATTAAGATTTCTGCAATTTCCGCATGGCACCTTAAACTTAAAAGAGTTTTTTTCTGATGCTACAAAAACTTAAAACTAACAATGAATTCAAATAAAGTGTTTCAGTACTTCAATAGTGCTAGGGCGCATAACTTTACCATAATATGGGTAGTAAAATATAAAACAAATCATTATTATATGATCAATGTGCTTCATAGTTGTGCACATTACAAGTTATGCCTCCTACACTAGATTTTTAATGAAATATAAAGTAAGAATCACATTTTCAAGTGTCCATTTTCTTATATGTATTCTTCTAGCTATACACCAAGATTGAAAAAATCTGAGAAACACTCTGCATGACATTTAGAGGGAAAAATAGCAATTCCATAATTACCAATTTGTAAGCTCAAATCTCCAGAGGTATTATATACCTTTGTAGCTGGCTACAACTATGTTTTTTGACAGTTCATATGACAGCCAGCTTCAAGTTGTAGTTCTAGCTGAGTAAAAAGATACATAATACTACTATGGACACAGCTTAGATAACAATCAGCTATAAAGATTTCCTATCACTGTTAAAACAAGCCCCATTTCGGCGAAGAAAGTCGAATGTAAATTCCACCAGTACTTTTGATGAAAGACTTCAGTGCTCAGCAGCAGCCAGTGTTGCCACGTACCCTGCCAGAGCCGCAGATATTATTTGCAATCGAAAAAATTATACTATTGCGACATGATCTGTTGTAGTTTTTGTTTTAAAATAAATTCATATTGATGGAAGTATTTACAATAAATGATAAAATATTTACTTTTGAAATGCATTCTTTGCTGCTGCGATATTCTCGATCCATTCCATTTTTAATGTAAACACTGTTGATACACCGCAATTAAATCTGACACTTCTGACGACTCCTCAGCTAGGATGCTTCTAATACAGGGCGAGTTCTTAATACGTAAGCGATCGGTACTTCCCATATTTTAAATACACAGAAAAGCCAACTGAAAAATACGCCGCTCTCCACTAGGTGATTTAGGTTGGGCGAAAAATAAAAAATGTTCGTGCAAAATGGTTTAGTTTTACTGATGAACAATGTTTCTTAAATCTCTCATTTAAATGTTCATAGCTCTCGTTTTTCTACGACGACTTTTTTGTGATTGAGTGAATGTTGTATTTGTCTGGTGTTTTCAAAACTGCTCACATTGTAAATACTTCCAGCATTACAAATTCATTTCATAAACAAATAAACACCCGTCGCTTCTTTTTGGACCAACATAGTCCTTTTTATTATTGATTCACATAAACTACACTACATCATATAGAGATACTATCATTTTACGATTTCAAAGAATATCCGCTGGCATGAAACGTGGCAACACTGGATGCTGCTGAACGCTAAAACCTCTTTCATCGTTGTACTAGGGGGATTCACATGCGGTTTTCTCCGTCGAAATGGCGTCCGTATTTGACACTAACAGGAGTTACATAGCTGATCGTTATCTAAGCTGTGCTATGGATTTAAACTCACTGGAGTATTACAAAAATATTGTCATTTAGAGAAATTTGAAAAACTCCATTTTCTTCTCAGTCAAAGACAGGAGGAAATTTCCACTAGGCGTTTGTAATCCTTTCAAATCTAAAACTGCATCATGAGCAGGCACAGAGGCAACTCTTTGACCAGTATTTATACTCCATAAATGCACGCTTTTCGTACACTCTTGATGCGCAGCTACATAGTCTTGCCTGTCTGTGACAAAACAAGATTTCGACAACAGTTTTTGCATCCCGCCACCTTGAAAACCATGACTTACATTGCAAGTAACTGAGTCATTGATTTTTTCTAAAGTACAAAGCGTATGACGAGAATATGAGATCCTATTATTTGGTCTAGATGAAACTAGCAGTTGCCTAGTGTTATCTTGGTATTTCATACTAACAAAAGGTCCCTCTAGTCTCGTTAGGGGATGCTGCACATAGTCTCCAGCACAGTTTTCAAAAACCCAGAGTGAATTGAGTTTGCAAGAGACTATACCACCATTTTGTAGATCACTGCCCGGCTGTGAAGGAATTGAGGCTACAGAAACAACTGGTGACATATCACCAGCTACCGCCAATGTTGCTACAGGCTCGTTCACTGTGCGTACATCATATTTAGCTACAGATCCAGACTGAGTTCCAACATAAAGATGATACTGATTGGTGGCATCCCAGCAACAAGACCACAGTGGCATCTGTTGCATAGTTGTATACGTAACATTATTACTAACAGTGTCAACGACTTTGAAAGATTTATCCATTGAAGCTGTCAGTATCCAGTTGTGAAAGGGGTGGAAAGCCATATCTCGAATTTGAAGCTGATGTAAATGCATGAAAGATAATGTTTTGTACTGAGATATGTTGATTTTACGGATGCCATATCCTGGAAACAGCGCATTGGGTGTTCTCATTGATGCCATTATCATATCTTGAGACTGCTTTGTATCAAATACTCTACAGCCACTCTGCCTGCAGAGTTCTAATGACTTATCCATATATAACCTAACAACATTTGAACTTGGATTGTTAACACTACCAGACTGCAGTCTTTGGTCAGGTACACTATTACTCAATAAATTGATTTGTTGTTTTAGATTCATAATTTCTTGTAATAACATTTGTTCCCTACAGGCAGACTTTGACATATCAATGAGAATTTTATTCTTCTCTTCTAATACTTTGTTCAACTCTGATTTTAACTTCTCTACTTCTGTAGCATCTACTGCTATGAGTTTTTTGGCATAGATATACCTGAGATCAGACCGATTTACTTTCTTCTTACATGTAGGGCAGGATTTCTTAGGCTGGCTGTTCAACCACCGTGTAACACACTTGTAGCCAAACAGGTGTCCGCATTTGAGTGAACATATCCTGTGATCACCTGTATTGGTCCAGTTGTCAAGGCAAATGGGACATAATGTTCCATCATCTTCATCTTCACTCAGTGACCTCTTCTTTGAGTCCCCCTTAGCCTCAGAGTCCACAGCATCATGACTGATTTCATCTTGTAAGTCAGTAGGCGATGGGGCCCTGCTACTTGCCACAGATACTGCTGGAGACACACGCGCAGCACCATTATTGGACTCGACATCATTAGACTCAATTTGAACTATGGCATGCTGTTCAGCTGGAATTTCGGGGTTTATGAATGGAATGGGGCCCTCCACGTGTAAGCCTAGGCTTGAAACTACTACAATGTCATATCCGTCGTTATTCTGTTCGGTTTCTCTTCGTTGTTCAGTATTTGAGGCATTATCCACATCCATGGCATTTTCGCCAACGACTGCAAAATAATTCAAACTTGTAAAAAATATCTACTAGAATAATTTTCGCGGACTTACAATTATTCGTATTCGAGAAATCCATCAACTGGAAAATATTTTATTTATTAGTTAGACATTTGAAAATAATAACCACAAAAACAATAACATGACATTTGCATTAGTGATGTAGAAATACGGATTAAAATAACGGTACAATCCGAATATTCATTTATTCCGTAATATGCCGAATATCAATTTATTACGTATTATTTTTAATACGGAATAATCAAATTCAAGCGGATAACCAAATGGAAATGGTATTTACCATTTTGGGTTGGTATTTACCAATTCGTTCAAGCGAGTGTAGTTATCAGTTTGGTTATAAGATCCGTGACGTCACGAATCAGCTGTTCTATGTCATAGTTATCACCGCAAAATTGTGGTATTTACCCAACTCAAGAGTAGTTTTATATTTCTGGTTATTATTTGAAATGTGACAAGTTAGAATTTTGCCGGGTATTGGATATTGTTATTGTACTACAGCTTCATTTTTGAGAAAAATGATACAGGCTGACTTCAGTTTTACCATAAAGTGGAGCACCTTATTAGTTATACTCATTACGGTTGTTGGGGACACTTTAAATGTAGTTCCTATGCTTAACAAAGTATCCTGTGTAGCCATATACCACAAGAATATTAAAATATGGCCATATAAACCCACTAGATGATATCCACCTGTATACGGTTTTGCTAATTTCTTTTTTTATCATTTCTGCTGAATCAATAAATGTTTTCTTTGACATGCGGAAAAATTTAGAGAATTGAAAGTTATCATAGCTACAAAGCCATGGTACCATCATTAAAAAAAAATCTGAAAAAAACATTTCTCCCATGAATATTATGAAAGGTTTCTTATTTAAACTTTCCATATACAGTGTAGACGAAAAAGCACCGATTATTAAGTGATAATAAAAATAATCAGAGATTATATACGCGCTTTTCTAAAATAAACAACTTGCAACAAAACCGCGGTTAAAACCAACGCGTTCAAGCGATTCGTGTAACTGACGTCATCAACCCGTGTGTCATCTTGAACCATATTATAACCGCGGCACATAACACAGAAATTTTGGTTATTCGCTTGGATTTGATTCATATAAACTCACTAGATGATATCCACCTGTATACGGTTTTGCTAATTTCTTTTTTCATCATTTCTGCTGAATCAATAAATGTTTTCTTTGACATGCGGAAAAATTTAGAGAATTGAAAGTTATCATAGCTACAAAGCCATGGTTCCATCATTAAAAAAAAATCTGAAAAAAACGTTTCTCCCATGAATATTATGAAAGGTTTCTTATTTAAACTTTCCATATACAGTTGTAGACGAAAAAGCACCGATTATTAAGTGATAATAAACATAATCAGAGATTATATACGCGCTTTTCTAAAATAAACAACTTGCAACAAAACCGCGGTTAAAACCAACGCGTTCAAGCGATTCGTGTAACTGATGTCATCAACCCGTGTGTCATCTTGAACCATATTATAACCGCGGCACATAACACAGAAATTTTGGTTATTCGCTTGGATTTGATTAATGTGTGTGATTTGCGTTCTTCGTTTTTTGTAATGAAATTAACAAGGCAACAACAACAACAACATACAACGGAAAGTTAGATTAGAAGTCCGGATGAAACTTCCATGGAAGAATAATAATACGTATGATTTTTAATAGAAGTTCTCATTTTCATCCGTATAAGTATGCAACATGCAGCGCACACCGCACGCAGACGTTAATCGCCAGAGGTGGCGCAGATTGCTTTTGGGAGATAGCCGAATATTTAAGAATAGGAAAATGTCCCATCACTACTCTTACATTGTGGTGACATCTATGCGTCATTCGTAAAACGACAGTGAAGACGTTACAGAGTTCTCGATACACTTGCTAGTTTCGTTCATAGATGGCACTAACACTTGTAGCGACATCTAGAGATAATCTTTTAAATTTTAGTAACCTCAGCATAGAAATCGCTATCCAAGTATACTTAGTTTAATAGTTTGACGATAGATGACAGATCTGTAAGAAAAATACACTACTTTTGACAGTCTTGTGGCTTCACAGCTAGTTTTCTGTCATCGTGGCGGCATGTCAAAATTGACGTTTCAAAAAATTTACAACACAACACATTCCGGAAAGATTTCAATATTTGAACAAAAGGAAATACGTGGTAGCTAACTTTTATTGATGATAAGATAGCAACAACAATCACATTTCATTTGAAATTAGTGCTGCACAATCTGCAAAATGGGCCTGACGATATCTTCAGTATTCAACAGACTGTTCAGCAAAAAACCCATGAGAATATTGATGGTAGGTTTGGATGCTGCAGGAAAAACTACAATATTATATAAATTAAAACTTGGTGAGATTGTTACCACAATTCCAACGATTGGATTCAACGTAGAAACTGTGGAATACAAAAACATATCGTTCACTGTGTGGGACGTCGGCGGGCAGACCAAAATCAGAAAGCTTTGGCGACACTACTTTTCCAACACAGATGGTTTGATATTCGTAGTAGACTCTAATGATCGAGATCGTATTGTTGAGGCAGAGCAGGAACTCCACAACATGTTAAGTGAGGAAGAATTAAGAGATTCTGTTTTACTTATATTTGCTAACAAACAAGATTTACCAAACTCCATGTCAACTGCTGAACTGACTGATAAGCTCAAGCTGAATACCTTACGAAACAGAAAGTGGTACATACAAGCAACTTGTGCTACTCAGGGCACTGGACTATATGAAGGACTTGATTGGTTATCTAATGAGTTGGCCAATAAGTGAACTTATATTTTAATTAGGGTTTTCTATGAAGTTTTGTCTCCAAAATATATATGTAAAATCAAGAATACATTCACTGATTATAAGATTTTTTTAAGAAACATTGAAGATATTGCTAAATCTCTGAATATCTTAGACCTTAGACTATACACTAGCTTAAAAGTAAGGCTGTATAACTTTGCACTTGAAAGTATTTGTGGGATAGATAAAAGTCTGTCAAAATACATGTATATTTTCTCATTTTTATTAACATTGTATGTTTTACTTTGTTTTCATTTTTAAAATATCGATTTATTTTTGTCCAAGCTATATTTTTGTTCTCCAAATAAATATATAGAATATCATGGTGCTTCATTGTAGGATAGGTATCAAATATGATATTGCAGATGATCAACAGTAAAATCATTTAATAGATCAGTTTCATTTTTTTCCATAAAAAAAACTACTTGGTTAGACAATGTGAACCTTTAATATTTTTTTTCTAAACAGTTTATATTATAGCATTACTTAAACTTAACTAAAAGTACATGGTATCTCATGAAACCAAATCAATTTTACTTTTTATAAGATGTACTGGTGGTAGATAACTATTTGAGCATTCACATCTGGAACCAGAGACAAAATCGAAATTTCCTATCCTAGAGTCACAATATGGGCAGTTTATACGGCCTTTAGACCACTGTTCAGCTTCTATCTTCAGGGAGATCCAGTGTGGTAAGAAATTTTCATCCAAGTGCACCATGTTTTCATCTCTAACTGTGTCACAGGTGTCTTCCATCTCTGAGGTATTTTTGCTTAGATTCTCATGATGGGCATTGAGAAGAAAGTTTTTTTGCTGCAGGTGGAATAATGTTTTGCGACATTTTTTGCACTTTACTTCAGAATACATGTAGATGTAGCTATCGTGATTTTTAGTGGAATAAATTCTTGTCCTAGCCTATTCAAGTACCATTATAATGATACTCTACAAACCAAGTCAACAACAACAATGTATTGCTCTTGAGTATTTTTGTTTTTGAATTTAAAAATGAGAAGCCTTCTTCCCTTTTCTTGTCTGTCAAGAAAACTGAACTGCCAAGCACAAAACAAGAAAGGAATGTGTACGTCATATGTTGTAACACTGTTGCCGTTTCTAACTAGTAAGTTAAATGCAATTAATTTTTTTCATACCATTTATTATTGACTACCTGTAATAACGAGAGCTCCAAAGAGGTAACGACTACGATACACGTTTGGGTCCAAGTAAAGATAACATGGCCATGCAAGACAACTATTGAAATATACTCTAGAAGACTATCCGTAGCTAATTTTATCTGGAAATCGTTGCACCACACTTAAATTTGCAAATGAAGATTGGAAAACTGCCGCTTTGACTTTCTAAATGGAATGCGGCGTTGCCAGCTCATCGGACGATTTTGCTACCTCTGCTATTTTATTGTTTGGAGACACATGTCACAACACCAAAGCACCACTGAAAGACAATCGAGAACCCTATAGTGAACACCACTATTAAAAAAATTGCTTCACTATAGGGTTCTCGTTTGACTCTCAGTGGTGCTTTGGTGATGTGACGAGGGTGACAAGTGTCTCCAAAGTGGAAATTAGGTCTACTTCCAACTCTTCGGAGGGAAATAGGATGCCTGTGCAGAAATCTAGGTGAGCCTTGCATACTCATCTACTTATGTTATTTAAAATAAATTGCGCACATTGCATACATTGAGAGATTAGTCATATACTGAGGTATTTCTCAATCGCCAGATCAAGATTAGTCAACGAATCACTTCCAAAGCGATTCATTTTCACTACATAAGCTGACTAGCACTGTTTAAAAAGAATATTACAAAATTTATTGACAATCAAATCAGAAAAATTGCTTAGCGTGGCTTTCTGGTGTCCCAGGAGACCATAATTATTTGTAATCAAAGGTATTGTAATTTTTGGTGACAACAGCTGTCAATTTTTGCCGCGGGTAAACTGGAAAAAATGCTGACAGGTACTGTCATACAATTGTTTCATCTAGAAACCATTTGAAATTTAAAATTGAGCGTTTGTGATTAGTAGAGAAAATGAAAATCGAACTTCTCCTATTTATGATAATGTAATTTTAGATCAAATACCTACTTAATAAATATATTTATACGATAAAACTTGTTTTTTTTTTCAATTTTTGGAACAGTATTTTATCCTATAAAACTGGGCATTTATAAAAGTGTTCAGAGGTATTAATGTTCCGCCTGGTATCCCTCAATATTTTCTCAAAGCTTTTCTTTATATAACATTCTACCAGAGGTAGCAAAATTGTCCGATGAGCTGGCAACGCTGCAATCTAGGTGACATGAATGACAAGGTCAAGTGCCAAAACGTGTGTGTGTGATTTAGACAGGTTGCTTTGACGTTCACAGTTCAGTCATTCTTGTATGACATTTGGCACACCTTGAATTTGCGGTTTTATGCCGAGAACTGTAATGAGCAGTCAGGGCAGAAGCTTTATTTTCAAAAATGTTGAAATATCCATATTATATTTTGGCAATTCACGTTTCATTGTATGGAAATCAACATGAGTGCTGGTAAGAACATTTTGAATTCATGCTACGATTCAGTTATCACTCATTTCTGGTACATTGTTCTTGCTGTTTACATTGAATTTTTCAATCCAGAAAGACTAATATCTTTTTTTATAAAATTATTTGAAAGGCGCGTTTTGTTTTTTGCTCAAGATTATCCACGTTTAGCATTTATGGGTTTTTATAAGTAGGTTTAGCGCTGATCCAAAGATATGTCTACAGCCTACAGCTGAATGTTGAAAGAAGGTAAATAATTTTTGAATATTTCTCCTCATCAGGTTTCAAAGATTAGGATTCGGGTGGTGGTTTTTATATTTAGTTGTATAGGTCTTCTCAAGTGCTGGTATGGTAGGTTGATTAAATATTGAGGTAATAGTTAGCATTCCTTCTTATCTCACTTTTCTTATCACACATTGTAAACAATGTGGAATAGAACACGTAACATAATGAGTTCATGCAATCTACAGTGACACAGAAATAGTCTAGAAACTATCTTCACATCTGCTCAGAAGGTATTCTAGGCCCCCTTTTAATAAATCTGCATTTTACCAGTCACAAAATTGCTCAAATGTTTATGCAAATGCCCAAAACTGATTTGCTCAGAAGTTTGACAAGTCATTTGAAAGAGTGCAAAATATGCCCTTTCTGACCCAAAAAAAAACTAAGATTTTAATGTTGCCAGAGTTCTTAAAGATTCTTCAAACATCCATTAACAAAATTCTATAGAATTTTAGGGTGTATTCTTATTGTAAACTTTGTTTTTTGTGTGAGTGCAAGAAAGATGTAGCTGGTGATGGTCAATTTTAAATAAGATTATGTTAAAAAAACCAATGAGAATTTTTTGTGAAGATATTTCCTGGACTAAAACATCCAATGTTATATAGATTGTTATCCCATTCTCAATAACATAATTAAAACCTATTTCTGGCTCTTAGGTGATATTAACAACTTAGGTATATATGCCATTATTTAGAGAATACTGTTGCAATATCAAGAGATAATAATTGACCAATTTTATAAATTTTTCTACAAAATGGACAAACATTTTTTTTAAAGAAATAAATAGTTTAGTTCAGTAGATTGACAACTTTGATCTATACTTTAAAACTCAATTATCATTATTATGAAACTTTCAACTTTGTCACCACTCCTTGGTAGCAGGTTTTTATATCCTTTTACTTATCATAATCTAAAATTGCCCTTCCTTACATATTCACTGCTCTGGAAGGTACATACAGATTCTATGGGGTGCACTTATTTGATGTATTACCATAGTTTCATGTGGAATTTTGATAGCATTCATTTGATTGCTGTCAAGATTTTGTTTAGCTAGCTTAGTGCTTTGAAGCTGGATATAAGTCCCTTCTATAGTTTGATATTCAGGGTGTTTCAGTTTATTGTTGCATAACTTTAAGATTCGATAGAACTTTTAAAATTAATGCATAAAGTCTATATAAACATGGGTCGAAAAATGTGTTGTACAAAAAAACCCTTGTATACCAATTTTCACAATATAACATCAAATATTGTTCGAAATATTTAAAAAAACTATTTTAGAAAGTAAATTTAAACACCCTGTATTTTGGAAGCCACGCATTTTTCGACCCATGTTTATATAGACTTTATGCATTAATTTTAAAAGTTCTGCAACAATAAACTGAAACACCCTGTATATGGTATTGGGTAGCATTGTATTGATAAATCAATTTAAAGGGAAACTATTTACTGCATTCAATCATTTATGCTGGTAGCATACATATAATATTGAATCTGATATACAGGTGGTGGATTTTGAATTAAGTTAACAAATCTTGGTAGGTATATATGAAATATGGGTTGCCATAGCTGATGATGGTTTTTATCATACCCTTATTTGGTGCAACATGTAAAATGTCTCAAGCCTTTAGAATATTTCTGTCATGTAGCATGGTTTAAATTTAATCAATAATCATATTCATGTTGAGAAACTTGAGTCAGGGATTTAAAAGTGTTTGCTGCTTATATCAAAGATCCATTCGTAAGAAAATAGAAAGAATCTATCTAGGTTTCTATCACTTGCATACTGTTCAGTCCCAAGGATAGAGTTCACTGGTTAATGTATTCTCCAACAAGAAGCGTTGTAATTTGCCGTTCGCATTCAATCTTCACAGACGCGTTGCCATGTAGGATCGCAGTAATTGCTTTAGAAGTAAGAATAACAGACTTCATCTTGCTTTGTGTATTTTTTCTCAAAGATAAGGTCATCGTCACAAGGAAAGGTTACCCCTCATTCCTCATAATTTATCTGTCATTTCAAGTCCATTTTTCTCCAACATGTTTTTTTACTGAAAACGCTTTTATAGTGTTAGATGTGTATTGTGGGTATACACTTCGTAAGTCAATACACCCCTTCCTCCTAAAAGAATACCGCTTAATTTACGTTCACGTTACAACGTGGTTGGTGGCGTTCAGTACTCGAAGGTAAGAAAATGGAACTCAGAAAGCTGCGGAATTCCGAGCACTTGCGGAGATGGACGAAAGTTACCGAATTTTCCCAAAATCGTTATTTTTTCTGATTATATTCGAGATGGGATATCAAAATATAAGGTGCATTACTTTTTCTCCTCTACAAGATAACCCTATTAGAAATTTATTGACGTTCAAATATAGTTTTTTGTCATACATTGACATTGTCAAACCGGCTCATTAAAAAAAACTAATATTCTCATAGTTGACCTTGAAAATTATAACATGTTTATCCGATTAAATCACCCATGCTTCAGTTTTTGAAGAGCTTGTTTAAGGACATTCAGATAATTTGCCCATTTATCGACTCTAACAAGCATTATTTTAGATCTTCATAGCACCTCAACTGTAGATTAATAGTATTTGCAAGATGTGTGCATCAGGTTAGATATGGCTGATTTAAAATGTGTTTAGTGTTGGTTACATAAAATAATGTTTTCAATACGACCCTTAAATATAGTCAAAATCACGAAAGATGACTATTACGTCATACTGAAATAATCAATGGATAATAAAATCACGATGTCAGGAACATAATGACAATAAATTTATATTATGATTTTGCGAAGTTAGGTTATTTCACTAATTATTTTTATTTTGATTTTATTTCATGGTTTTGAGTGATACCTTAATAATAATTTTAGTGGGGAGTTTTTGTTTTGGAAAAAAACAGTTATGAGTAGAATACCTTAAGACAGGAACACCAACGACCAAAGTATTATTCGAAAACAACATAACCTGCTGTAACATAACCTAACTATTCACCATTCAAATATGATCGATCATGCAACATGAAAACATCGTCTATCTTTGTCGGATACATGCAAATTAGCAATAGTTTGTTTAGACAATAACATTCTGTTTGTCTCTGTCTAACATATCAGAAACTTCATTTAAATATATTCACAAATCGCTGTCGTTTGTCTTTACTACAGACTAAAATGATGACGTAATCGTCAACTTTCGTGATTTCAACTATAATATAAAGTTTTAGCATTATGTTGTTATTGATTAAAAATTGAAGGGCTGGGAGGGGTGACAGTGGTCCTACCCGTGTACTCATACAATGTAGCCTAACTGTGATTTAAACAATAGATCTAATTTAAAAGGAAAGTTTTTATTGTTAACAAAATTAATTATTTTTTGTCTTCTTACAAATTAATTTATGACTTCTTCCGTATCGACATGTACATCTTTATGGACGTATAGGCAGCCAACTTACGCGATCAGGGTTGCCAGGTGTGATGATTTTTCAAAAAATCTGGTGGCTTGTTGACCGTTTTTATCCATTACATACTTGGAAAATGTCTGTATTTTATTCAATTTATCAAAGATTCGAGTCATAAATATTGGTGATCCCCCCCCCCCCTGGATCCGCGCTTGATGCTTGTTTGCCGGTTCATATTATGAAACAAACGACTATCTGATAATTTCAAGGCATACTTGGGATATTCTGTTTTTGAAATATCATAAGTTTTGAGAATCAGAATTAAAAACTATTCACTTGTGCGAAAATTCAATAGGACGTCCATAAGAAAAAATAAAGTTGATGATTGAGGACAAGAAACGAAATGACATATTGAAACTGACATCTTGTGGAGGAGAAAAAGTGGCAATGTTGAGGTACTGTTTCTTTTGAAGTCTCATCTTAAATAAAGAATAAGAAAAAATAATTTTTGAGAAATCTTTCGTCTGTCTCCGAAAATAATTGCGAAGTGTCATTTCCTTAGTTACCTATACAGGGTGACTTCGAAGTTGAGTCATTTATTTTAACAGTGAGTAGATCTGATCAAAAGAAATGTTTTTTTCCTTTACCATTTTTCTAGTAAAATTAAAGTAACAAAGTTATAGCCCTTTGGAAGTTTGAGTACCGCCCTGTCTCAATAATAATATTATTGCTCGTGTTTGGCAACAACGGATATAATCCGCCTTATCGGTTCATCGCATCGGAAACAAGAAAGCGAAAGAATTTGGAACGATGTTTTTACAATTATTTTATTCAGTTCTATACAGTCAGTGTCAGTCGGTAACGCGTAAGTGAATAGTGGTGTCTGTTGCGTGGCTCAAACGAAATAAAAAATGGCACATGTTTATGCGGATCGGTTTCCCAATCGAGTGCAATCAACCCCTCGTGCCTTTGTTAATGTAGTACAACGGGCTCGTGAATCAGGTGACTTAAGACCTCACAGGGGACGGCATGCCGGTGCTCCAAGACCTCACGATCAAATACAGGTCCGCACTGAAATACTTGTCGGGAGGATACTTTATAAATCAAGGTCAATTTTTTTTTTATTTTTACACACATATTTTGGTTTATCTTCCTTCTACAATCATTATCTGAAAATTAATGACTCAACTTCAAAGTCACCCTGTATATGCAACTTTGCTCCCATTTAACCGACTTCGTATCTCTTACCTTTTACGAGATCCTTAGCGCAGGGCTATCAAATGAGTCGAGTATCTCTTCTGGTGGAATATGTTCATCAATGAGAAAGCGGGATAGCATGAGTTTGAATCCCGTTGCTTAACGTATATTCGACGATCTTCCAGAGTAGTTAACCTAATGCACCTAAATACATCCTAACCTTACTTACCCCCATTCCGTAGATTAGAAACGATGGTTGAGGTTCGATTTCTTTCAGGTGAGGTGACGGTAGCTCTCCACTGCTCATACTCTGCACAACTACTGACCCGGACTCACCGAAATCCCCACCTTAACTACTAGCTTATCACACATTACTCTTACTACTATTGGTGTTGGGTTACAATTGTTACACTCGCAAATTGCATGCCATTCGATTAATAACGATGACGAACAGCAACAATTCACTGCGCAAGTTCGAGTGCGACTTTTGCAAGAAGAGGTTCATCGGTAGTAACGATTTGCGTAAACATATCCGTACGCACACCGGAGAGAGGCCGTATGTCTGCAACGACTGTGGAAGGGGCTTTCGACAATCAGGGTCTTTGAAAAACCACATCGCTTGCAAACACTCGTCGAGTTTGCAAGGGAGGGAGATTTACGTATGCAACCACTGTCAGAAGGCGTTTCCGTTGAAGGAAAGGTTGAAACTGCACATGCGCACTCATACGGGCCAGCGACCGTACGAGTGCGAGGTATGCAACAAACGATTTGCCAGAGGAGGTCAGTTGATTCAACATCAGAGAACGCACACCGGCCAAAAGCCCTACGTTTGTAAAGTTTGCGATTCATCCTTCACTTGTTCCGCAAATTTGAAGCTACACATGAACAGACATTTGGATATCAGAAACTTCGTTTGTGACGTATGCGGAAAGAAGTTTTTCCGACGAGATGCGTTAAGAAAGCATCTGAACTGCTATCACGGGAATGTTAAAGCGTTCCATTGCAAAATATGCGATAAGATGCTGAAAGGTCACTTGACCCAGCATATGCGCATGCACAATCAAGACAAACCTCACGGTTGTGCCCATTGCGGATCAAGGTTCGCACAAAGATCGCAACTAACCGTACATCAACGCACTCACAGTGGCGAGAAGCCCTATAGGTGCGAGGTATGTTGGAAAGCGTTTGCACACTCTACCGCCCTTAAGTTGCATACCCGAAAGCACACAGGCGAAAAGCCCTTCAAGTGCGTGCTGTGTGAAGCCAGCTTCACGCAGTTGCCGCATCTCAAGAAACACATGCTGTGCATTCACAAAAGTAGCAAGCCGTACGTCTGTAGATATTGCAAGTCGTTTCATCAGACGAAGATGGACCTAGAGGCTCACTATGTCGCATGTAAACATTACGCGGAACCTAAGATGCCGGACGTCAAGCTTAACGACAAAGTCCTGGAGACTCCGATGCCTGTAGAGAAAATGAGATTCTTGCTGGCGATTTTATTGAAAAAGATCTCTGTGCCAGAGAGACTGCAGGAGTTGGGATTTGATAAAAAGTTGATCGATGATGTACTGATAGAATCCATAAAGAATTCGGGAAGAGAACCCTGCACAAATTCTGAGTTGTCCGTAGGAGAACGATTGAAGAAGAATGTCACGATTCTTCTAGAATGGACTGTTCCGAAGTCGTATATGGAAAAGTTCAAGCTGGAACGTCGTTCAACAGAAGAGTTGCTGGAAGAACTGACTTCATAGAAATTTGAAGTAACTAAAAAGCAGGTCGTGGAAAACTGTATTTTACGGGACAAATAGTTATACTGAAAAAAAAAAACGCACATACCAGATGTCATGTCATACTCTGACTGTTGTCTATAAATCTGAACAGATTCTTTTGATGTCTCCAAAAATGCGGTTATTCTCGACGGCGTTCATTTTCTATTAATGCATCTAAGCAATTATCAAAATTTTAGTACCTGTAAAATATTGAACCATTAGAATTGATATACTATTTTTCCTACAAAATCTCTTCGGTAGTTTTAGTCACATTTACTTGCCTCTAACTATACCAAAGGTTGTAGCTATTAGTAGTTAGTACTGTGATGAAAGCATGGTCGTTCTGACTTTCTTGATTCAATTTCGCGTTTTTATTTTTTTTAGGGCGTTTGACTGCTGTTTTGTCATAGTAAGGTGCGTAGTTTTCTGGGATTGTGAACCACATCCTTTTATAGATATTAATTATACTTTAATTTGTGATATAACTAAACTCCTGAATAATAGAAATCATATACCCCATTAGTCAAATAATAGCAATCCAAATTCCACAGACTTTGATAGTGATACAACTTGAATATTTGAAGTTTTTAACATCTGATATTTTGAATAAAAAAAGGAGCTGTAATACCATTTTGGAAGTTTAGTTATTTCAACAAGACTGCAATGATTAAGAAGTTTCGTGCTGCAAATGTAATTTCGTACTATGTTTACTTTTTGTATCTGCCTTTATTGAGTTACCAAAGATTAGTGCAAAAATATAGTTTAAGTTTTGTTGGTATTTAGAGATATATATTTTTCTTATGTATTTGGCCGACTGTAACACCAAAAACTAGGTGTAGTCGACCTTTGGGGTTTGTTCAGAAAACAATGTAATTCTTTTCTATTTTCATCAGAGGTTAGCAGTGAAAATAGTGTGTATTATTAATATTGCTACTGGAAGAAAAATTAGCAGCATTTTCACAAAAACTTATTTTCTTAGAGAGTGTTATATACTGCCATATATTATCACATTTAATTGTTTGGTCATTTTTTTGATTGAAACTGCTTGCTATAAAATATTTGGACCGTATTTACACATTCTTAATTTCTGTAATCTTTTCTTGTTTCCTATATATGTGTGCCATAAATGATTTTGAATTTCCTTGTTTACTTTTATACAAAAACTGATTTTAGTTAGCCTTGTTAGATACCTATTCGTAATAAAAAGTAGAGAAATAAATACTTATGTTAGAAATGCAGTTTCACTTGAAAAACACGCAACATGTGCATTACCTGCCCAATTTTTGGCTTACACAGTACACTCCCATTTATAAAACCGTTGTTTGAGACATAACTGAAGATAACCTACCACATACTGTATTTCGGCGTTCAAAAAGAAACCTGAAAGAAACTGGCGCACCGTTTATTATCTACATGCATTATGCGTTATATGCTCCAATAAGACAGAGTCTATCCTAAACCTTTTAAAGTAAGCTCTTTAAAAAAATCCGAAAATTGGCAAATCACGAGGACCTCTGATGCTCACATGTTATTTGAAAATCTGTACTATTTGATTTTATTGAGTTTGTGTTACGGTCAAATATCTAAAAAGCAAAACATCGCTGAAAATTCAATTTTCTATCCGCTACAGTGGTGGGCTGGTAACATGATTTGAGGTGACGAGAATGTCTAAGTTGGATTTTTTTTGATATTTCGTTTTGTTCTTAAACACACAACCACTGCTACATGGAGATCAAAACAGATCGCTTTCTTCTCAATAATGGAGATTCTATCCCATAAGTGTTAATTTAGTTTCGGATTGGTTGCACTAACCTAGATTTAGAGCTGAAAACTGTTTAAATTTCCGATTACCTCATCGATGTTGCAGTAGGTTTTCTAGAGGTTGTACAACTGCAGTTTTTGATACCGTATAATATCCCTAATGATGTGAGATAACACAAAAATGAATTTAGAAATCTGAAAAGAGGTAAGCAGGTTTGCTTCTACCATTGTCTCATAGATGGCACTAAGATCTTCAATCCCGCTTTCGCCTCTCTAATGCATATTTTAATTCAGTAGCTAGCGCCATCTGAGGGACAGTCGCAGAACCAAACACTCTCTTTTCAAAGTAGATTTCTAAATTCATTGTTGTGTTTTGCTACTGCCTCATAGATAGCGCTAGGGTCTTTCGGATCTCTCGCTGTATGGACAGCTATCTTCAATTAGAATGCGTCAATGGAAAAAAGAAAGAAAACGATCCCATATTACGGAACCTTTCGGGACATTTAGGAGTTTTTCAAACGGATAAACGTGTAATATGTTCTTAACACCTACATTTATTGTGGTAACTGAGCATTTTGCAATATTTGGTATGTCTTTAGTCTTACGGTAAGGGAAGCACACGAATTGCAATCTATTTCCATGCGACTGCAAAAGGCTTGTTTAACGGCACATTTAAACGATCAACGGTTAATACCTAAAATCGAAAAAAAAGTTCATTCGTGGGATGGAAATTAAAAAAAAAGGCTAACAACTTACTCTGTTGATCGTATCATATTTGAAGGGTGTAGTAGTGACGCCATTCACAGTAACTTGTTTCACGGGGATTCTAACACCAAGTACTATAATTTTGCCTAGGTTTGGCGGAACTTCTATTCCTATGAAATTATTGTTACTTCTCAATGTATTTCCTTGCAATGCGAATGATATGAGTGAATATCGTTTTTCTTCATAGGAATCTGGAAACAGACGGTAAAAACGATCATGATGGTTTTATTTAAGAGGAGGTATACAGAGGAAGGACACTGCGGGTCGCCTCCATTGACTTGGTCTCTTCAAATTGGTTTACATTTTTTCTGTTTATTTATGGGTACCGTCACGCCCGGGATGCTGATTCTGCCACATTTGTCATGGCATTGAAGTGAATAGGAAATATGGATGAATAAAATGAAGTGTTTTACTATCATGTTAAGAAAGTCTAAAAACCTCAAACAAAACTTGAAAAGTTCTAAATTACCTACACAAAGAATATCACTATGGGTAGTCCTCAGGACCGTATTATTTCCCAAAATAATGTTGCAGGTAAAGAGGTCTACGAGGGACCAACGATATTTTATGAGGAAATTTCTGAGATAGTCGTTGAAAAAATATTACATTACATTAGTGTCCAAAAAGGCTTCAACACAATACTGAGTCGCAAAGAAAGAAAGATATACAGGGTTTGTCCGGAAAGTAATAGGATTCATTTTCTTCCGCCATGACTGTACTGCGTGCGCTCACCGACCGGATTCGGTAGAGGGCGTTCCTAGCTAACGAATGAGCGGCTGGTCAGTTGTCTCCGAGTACTTGGAGAGTCAGGACAGGCATTTTCGCGCGACGTGTTTCTGTGAGTGGTGCAAGCCGAAAATGCAGCGTTCGTTAGAGCAGAGGTATGCGATTAAATTCTGTGTGAAACTCGGTAAATCTGCGACAGAGACGTTTGATATGATAAAGCAGGCTTACCCAGGTGTTGCTTTAGCAAGAAGTGGTGTGTTCGGTGGCACCAGGCCTTTTTGGAGTGCCGGGAAGAGGTCGCTAATGAAGACCGGAAGACCTTCGACTTCGACAAACACCGATAATGTGACTCGTGTGCGCAAGGTTTTGAACTCAGACCGTCGACTAGGTATTCGTTTAATTGACCAGATGTTAAATTTACCAAAATCTGTGGTTCATGACATTGTGACACAGCATTTGAACATGGGCAAGGTGTGCGCGAAGATGGTCCCAAAAGTGCTCACTGACGACCAGTAATTGCGGCGAGTGGAAGTGTACCAAGAAAATTTGAACATGTGTGAAAGTGACCCCCAATTTTTGAATAACGTAATCACAGGTGACGAGTCGTGGATCTTTGAGTTTGATCCCGAGACAAAGACGCAATCTTCCGAGTGGCACACGACGGCGTCTCCTCGCCCAAAAAAGGAAGAATGAGCAAATCCAAAGTGAAAACGATGCTCATTGTCTTTTTTGACATCAAAGACATCGTCCACCATGAATTTGCAGAAGGTGCCTATTTTGAAAGTTTTTAAAGAATTGTAATGATTGGCTCAATAAATTTTTTTAAATCGACTCAGTCCTATTACTTTCCGGACAAACCCTGTAATATGTGTGAAATCATACTTCCAGATTGGGTAGTAGTTTTGAAAAGGGTTTGGTCTATGAATCGGTACTCTATCATTAACGAAGAGAAAATTACTGGTAAGCGATCAAAATGTAAAAAAAAGATTACATGATTTTTGCACGTTACTCACAACCAGAGCTGTTTGCGAAAAGAATTCGCCTTTTGGTGTTACCGCTGTTTTACTTACTCAGAGAATCTCCGTCATCCCAGTACAACTGACCCAAACTGAGTCCATTCGCGTCACTTGCAACCAATAACTGCATCTTTGTCATTCTCGAAAGCGTCGTAGTGCTCATTGGTGCTTGCATCGGTAAAATATGACCGCCTCTTATCAACAAGGGGATTTCGTCCAGTGGGGCTGACAAGTTGAACATAGTACCAGCACTTATTATTTCCGATCTTGAGTAGAAGTCGTACCAAACACCTTTTGGCAAATACGCGTTTACGAAGATATGGTTCTCCTAAAATTCGATGGTTTATGAATCGTTTGTATCATTAGAGAGTTTTTAGTGCTCTGGGCATCCGCATCAGCGAGTATGTTTAGCAAACAACTTGAGAGATAAAATGGGCGCCGACGGGATTCAAACTTGCATCTACCTTCCGTGCAATTACCGTCAATCCACTTTCAGGATCGACTGTTACGGGTAAATTTAATCACCACGCCACTTGATCTCTCAAGCTGCCTTGGTGCCCCATCTGGCGGCGTTCAAGTGAAACAACCGGATTGGTAAGGTATCTCCAATCGCTTTCTAGTTGCACCCCGCTACCTCGTGGGCACTTACCACGGTACCACCGTCTGAGGACGGATATCTATACGATTATTCGGAAGGTTTATGCACAGCCGACGTCAACTGTGGTTTATGCTGGGTACCTTCTGGTAGAATACGAATTTATGAACGTTTTTAGTGCAAACTTACTTGTAAAACTGGGATGATCATCAAAGCAGGTCCCCACAAAAACTGAGTGTCAATGGCATATGTTTTTGGATCATTGGTGAATCTGTAAAAAAGTAATACGTTTCACGAAATTTCATTGTTTTTCTCTTTTCTGTGCAGATTTAGTATCCTTGCACAACTTTTGAGGGAAATATGTATTATATGTTGCTCTAAAGAAGTGAATGTTTTAAAAACTGTTTTGATAACGTTAATAAGAAGAATATGATGATAATATAACCAATAACAATACTCACTCGAAAAACAGCGGTCTTGAGACTGTCTCGCCATATTTGTAGGCTTTGAAAAACAATGTGTAAAGATAAGGAAGCAAGGAATATCGAATCCTCAAGGCGTTCTTTGATGAAGAAACCACCAAATTCCCCATGGCCACGGGATCTTGATCCTACAAAAGATAAAAAAAGTCATCATGACAATGGATTTGGCAATGGAAGTTCATGTGGTGCAACTCACAATTCCATCGTCCGTGTTGTGATTCCTAGAAAATGGATAGAAGGCTCCTAGTTGCATCCAACGGTTGCACAAGCTTGCTGTCGTATTTCCATTGAAACCGCAAATATCGGCGCCCATCAAAGGTACACCAAACAGACTGAAGCTCAGTAATTCTGGAAATATACCACACAAAAACACTTCAGTAACTAAGATTTTTCTTATCAGAGCAACCGCGTCCCGAGACTGTACGTTAGAGAATAGCCCTCTTCTGAACAGTATCGAACATGAGAGCGGTTTTAGAGGCGAATAACTATTTTTTCCTGGCAGTTATGAATATTAACCGATATACTTAGATTAGAGAGTATACCTGTGATTGTGTATCTCATATCTGCCCATGCTGACCAAACATCCCCACTCCAGTGCCCTGTATAATGGCCTTGTCCAGAGAACGTTGACCTTGATATCACCATAGGTCTTTTGCCCCTTATTTCCGCCATGGCACTAAAAGAAGTGCGGAAGGTCAATAACATCAACAATTATCATTCGAAATATACATCGAGGGATGTCTTTTAAGTTTTGCATATAGAAACATAGTAGGCCGCGCGGGTCGAACGCCAGTACTGAATCGTCAGTCGTCGCTACAATTGTATGGCGCCTTTATGGCCTCCTTGATTTTCATATTTTTCTACTTCTCCGTGTC